CAATGATATGAACCAATTTAGATTCTCAATAGTTAACCAACTCAAACTGAAAAAATAAATAAAATTTATTAAAAAAAAAAACAAAACAAAACAAAAAAATAATAAAAAAAAAAACTCCCACAATGAGTTGAATTTAGAACCTTGTAACGTAAACTATTAATACAAAATTGGAGTAATTGTAACCCGCCGTCATCATCACCCAATATTTGGAGTGGGAAGTTATTGGCATAATTATTCCTAGATGCAATAACAGAGACATTTGATTATATTCATATATTGTTCAATCATAATATGACTTCAATCAAGAAAAGATGGAAGAATATGATATCTTTTCTTTCTTTCTTTTTTTAGATCGAGCGTCGGCTTCAAAGTGGTAAAAAATATATTTTAAATGTTCAAGGTGGGTTATGCAATAAATGGAACATTTTCAAATGGAACTTGGTTATGACTTATGATTACCCTACATCCAAATAATAAAAATTTGTTAATAAGTAAAATAGTAAGAATAATATTAGTATAAAATGTTATATATATTTTTAAAATTGATCGAAAGTGGTAGAGGTATATTTTGAGAACATGAGATTACTCTTTAGTTATTATTAGCTAGTCTGTTGAGAAGGTTTAATTTTGAATAGGGAAAACGAGAAAGATTATCCACACTTATATTAATTCCATATCATTGGAATTATTCGAGAGATTTTAGAGTGTGACTAGAGGTGTCATGCATGTGTGTTTCAAAGTTAGACTTGTCTCTTTAGATCTCCGCCTAACAATCTCCCTCCCAACATCTACCTTGAACTCGCAACTAACATGCTCTAATATATAATACAAAAAATTATCAAGGCTCAGTTTGGTAATGGTTGTTAGCTGATAACTGATAGTTGTTAGCTGATTGTGTTAATTAGAAGGTATAACTAGTTGATAACATTAGCTGTTGTAGAAAAGTGTTTGATAAATTAACTGTTAGCTGATAGCTGTTTGATATAATTTATTTTTTGAAAAAAGCTAATTGAAAAAGTTGCTTGGAGTAGCTTTTTGAATTTTAGCATTTTGGAGTTGCAAAAAGCTAATTAACAAAACACTTATATTGATATTTTAACTAAAATAAACAATTAATAGTGGTCAAATAAGCCAAAAATGACCTGTAGGCTAATTTTTTACCAAACAAGGCCCAATTAAGTGTTTATCACTTTGTTGAAAGTTATAACAAATAGTAAATACACAATTTATTTTTTATACTTGCGTAGTCAATGTTACATTATTTAAATAACAAGATGCTAGCGTTAGTAATCCATACGTATGCCCAACAACTATTTCACTAGAATAAAACTAATATTTGCATTATCTTAAGGTTTATGGTAATGCATGTTCATCCTCTTACTTTTAATCTCTTAATTAGCCTCCAAAGTAAGCTAAGCTTGGATGGAACATAAGTGCATAGATAACTAATTAAAGATTCCCTAACAAAAGTCAAAGAATTATATTAATTAACTAAATCTTGAAGACATTCATAACCAACACTTTGTCTTGTGGTGGTATTCACACTCACTTTCATCTCTTACATTCTAAGATAGAAGTGCATTGTGGATTATTAGGTTTTTATTCTTATTATAAAAGTTGTTGGTAGTTCTTAATGGGAAGAATAACATATTATATATTCATGGATATCTATCTAGTTATTTGACATATGCATTTTTAATCTTAATAGTATTAAAAACTTTAATTTTAAACAAATAAATGCTTTTATAAATAATACTTAAATGGCTCTAGGCCCCATATATAATACTAATAACACCCACCATATAGGCAATCTCTCTAATTACTTTCTTGTGGTCCTTTACTGATTAAGGTCACAAAACGAAATTTACCAATACACATCCTCAACTAGTAATTATGAATTTTCCTTGTCATTCAGAAAGGAATTCTTGAACATTTTCGTCACATTAACTCGTTTTTTTTTATACAATATAGTATATATTATAATCAAATTGGATATGTTAAATTAAAAAAAATACGCATATTATGCCCACTAACCCACTATACAGATAATCTAGGCCACTTTGTCCAAATCTTGAATTCCAAAAACCAGAACCTTTTGTGGATCCACACAAACGCATGCTTCCAATTTTCTATGTATGATACCTATGACATGTAAACATTTTGTTTGTTCTTAACAAATTAAATAATAAGAGTTTTTTTTTTTAAAAAGAAAATAGTGCTACGAGGTACATTATTCAGTGAGCACGATTGTGCCCATGACCCATTATCCCCAATAAATTTTTAAAGTAATTAATTACATAAAATAAATTTATTCACATGTACAATTTGGCACTTGCATATGGCCAGCTTATAGTATTTAAGTCTAGGAAGTTAAAAAAATGAAACTATATATAACGTGTTACAATTTGTCAACTCAATTGGATGACCAATTTTTTTAAAAAAATAAATAAATGAAAAACATGCATTAAGTTACGAGGTAGGACCGCGACAAGTTCGCTAGCTTCCTTCTCTTTTTCAATTTTTGACTCATTCTCAACTACGTGTCCTTTGGACCTTCGCCCGCTCCATACGGGGAAATGAAAGCAGAATTCATTCGGTATAGTGGTCGATTCCTACCAATGAGAGATATGAAATTAGTATTGTTGTGAGCATTGGTTACACGTATTTTAAAATAAATCATTAAGACATATCTCATGATTTATCTTCTTCACCAAAACTCTGACATTCTGTAATTTACTCATCCATTAAACTTTCGGGGACAGTAGGGTCATCATTTTGAGTTCAACTTTTTTCCTTATAAATCAGCTAAAGCCTAATTGTAGACCTTATTAGGTCCGGCCCAATTTTATTAGCTGGCCCATCATTGACTATCTCTAGTTGCCCAAAAGTTCTTTCTTCTCGTGAGCACAATGGACCGTTCTTCAGGCCACATTAGAAGCCTAGCATTTAATCAGGCCCAACATACCAACTTCTCTGGTCCGGCCCACTACCCTTTCTCTTCTTCTAGCCCTACAATCATTATTGGAGAAATTATGGCAAATTATGCTGTGGAATCGTGTCCGCCTTGCAATGTGTACACGGTTTCAAAACTGTTCATAATTATGAATATATAGTTCAAAAATTATAAACATATAGTTCTATAATTATGAACATAATTATGAACATATAGTTCTGTAATTATGAATATAGAAATTCAATAATTGTGAATATGAAGTTCAAAAATTATGAATATATAGCTTTATAATTATGAACATAGAGTTCTGTAATTATGAATATAGAGTTCAGTAATTATAAATATATAGCTTCATAATTATGAACATATAGTTCAATAATTATGGACATAGAATTGTGTCCACATTGCAAAATGGACACTATTCCACAGCATAACGATTGACAAATTATTGTGTGGACCATGGTCCATACATTGCCCCCATGACAAAATGTATATTTTTAATATACTAAAAGTACAGTATTTGTACAATTGTACACTGAATGTACATTATACAAAGGGAGTGTCTGGTAATAGTTGTTAACTGATTGTGTTAGTGGGTTTGACTAATTGATAGTATTAGCTGATTATAGAAAGATGTTTGGTAAATTAACTGTTAATTGATAGCTAATTACATGCAAAATGACTTTCTTGAAAAGCTTATCAAAAAATCTGCTTTGATAAACTTTTTGAATTTTAGGTTTTTGGAGCAATATGCTGTTACAAAAAACTAATTAATCAAAGTTGTTTAACCAAGTCAAACAGCTAACAGTAGTCAAACAAGCCAAAATTGACTGATAAGCTAACCACGTTACCAAACAGGACCAAAATAATGTACTTCTAGTACTCAAATAATGTATTTTTCCTTAATATCATGTACATTTTAATATACTAAAATATATTATTTGTGTATTGAATACATATTACTTGATACTATGATTCATACAATTGTGTAGACCACCCACCGTCTCAAAACACATAAAGTACATTATTCTAACACATAAAAGTGCATTATTCAAACTCATAAAATACACATTATTTTATCAATTGAGACTTGTCTTCCAATTTTGAAGTCTTCTGGAGTTCTCTACCAAAGATTAGTTTCTACTGCTATGTAACCTCTACGTTTTTCATTTTTTATTAAATATGGACATCTGTTACTTAGAATGTCATTACTGATTGGCAATGTCTATTAAAATAACTGGCTTGTTTTAAATCTTGTCACTTTCAAGTGTTGCACAATTTAATTCCAATATAAACTACTCCTTAAGATTTAATTTTGTAATCACCAATTTCAGTTTCATAATTTAAAACTTATATTTCCAATATAAATTCAATGCAGGAGATACAAACTTATATTTTAGCACAAAATTTAACTCTTTATCATAAAATTATTTAACTCAGAACTCATTAACTGGACAAATGGAATCCATAATCAGTAACAAAAACACATAGACCCTGTTTGGTAAAATGGTTGTTAGCTGATAGCTGTTAGCACTGCTAACAGCTATCAGCTAACAAGTAATAACACAATCAGCTAACTATTTATACTCTCTAATTAACACAATTAGCTAACTACTAGCAGTTAGCTGATTGTGTTAATTAGAGAATATAAATAGTTGATGACATTAGCTGATTATAAAAAAGTGTTTGGTAAATTAGCTGTTAGCTGATAGCTATTTGGTATAATTTCTTTTCTTAAAAAGCTAATTAAAAAAATTGTTTGGAGTAGCTTTTTGAATTGTAACCTTTTAGAATTGCAAAAAACTAATTAACCAAACATTTATATTGATATTTTAACTAAATCAAACAATTAATAGTGATCAAATAAGCTAAAATTGACTTATAGACTAATTTTTACCAAACAGGGCCATAATATTATTTCACCTATCATACTTCCAAACGTTGTCATTGAATTAGCTTTGGTCTTATCTATATATGTATTTATATGTAAATATTTAATAATAAATAAATTTATAAAATAAACTCCATAGTCCATACTTCATGTCTTCTTCTCTCTCTCTCTCTCATATTATAAAAAACTGTTTTTTCCCATCACTCCATGCTTTCACATAGTTGAACAAAGTTGTCTTTCCTTTATCCATTTCCATCTGCCGGCCGCTAAAATTATCCAATTGTCCTTCTCTGGGCTCACTCATTCCTCTTTGGGCGTCTACTGGTTTTTTTTCCCAGACGAAATTATTCGAAAAGCTGAGACTTTGGTGTGGTTTAAGCCACGATCGCTGTTCATAAGCTCTTCATTGCGTGATTCGTCGAATACCCAGAGTTTCCCGAGAAACTTTTTGGTAATTCAGGTGCTTTGTTTGCGTAACGCGATTGTTTAAGCTGATTGTTTGATGCATTTGTTTAAGAATGTTAAGATTTATGTTATGATGTTTTGATCTGTGATGAATTGCTCTGAAACTTTGAGCTTGAGGTACAGAAATGGACCTTCATCTTCTGCTTTATTTGTTAAAAAGAATCTGTTTCTGGCTCTTTGAACTCTGTTTAAATGATCAGATAGTATTTTATTAGGCAAATAAAAGCTAATGGAAAAAACTACTTTGTGCATCTTTTTGAATTTTAGTATTTTGGAGCAATAAGTTGTTAAAAGAGCTAATTAATCAAACACTTATATTGATTGTTTAACCAAGTCAAACCGCTAATAGTAATCAAAAATTCCAAAATTGGCTGATAGGTTAACTATATCGCGCCCGTCGTACAGATTTTCGGTTTATTGTAGTTTACGGGCTATTACACATTAGCGGGCAGTGGTTTTAGTTTCCCTCGTCATCTAAAAAATATATATATTTATGATTCTCCGAAATGGTTAGTTTGTATAGAAATGCACTGAGGTGATGCTACAAATTGAGAAAAATGAGAGTCTGTATGATCTTTCATATCAAAGTATGCTGTAACATATAACAGAAAGACTACTATTAGAAGGCCAAAATCAGGTTGATGATCAAAGAAACTGATTTCTTCCAAATCAATTTCAAGTTTTGTGTAGTATGCAGGTGAACCTTTTGGGATATGAGAGCCATGTTAATTGGATTAATGTGCCATGTTAGTTGCGTTTGCATGGTAGCCTTGTGTAAATTGCACAAGCAAGTAGAAAAAAGCATGCACGCCATGCTATGAATTAGCAAATTGATGTCTACTTTACAAGAAAAAATATGGGATTTTGTCATAATTCGTGATTTTTCATTGACTTTGAAGGGAGTTAAAATGACCTCTGTACAAGGGCCAGTTGTTTGCCCGTTAGTTCGTGCTAAAAGAACGGGTGAATACTCTGTTCTGGTCAGTTCACTTTCAGTGAAGACTACTAAAGTTCTTAGAAGTGGGTTTAGAGGGTCTACTAGACGAGTTCGAGTGGCTAGACTACCACGACCAGAAATAAGCACGGTGATCAAATGCAGTTTCAGTTCATCTTCCAATGGCAATGGCAGCAGAGCTGAGAACTTTAGCGAGAATGATGCTGACTATGTGAATTCTATCGTTCTTGAAGCTGGTATATAAATTTTCAAATTGCATTCGTGTGTGTGTGTGTATACTAGTATTGTGTATTTGGATATTGCATGTGGACCTTTTTCCACTTGGCTCTGTTTGGCAGATCTTATTTAGGAGCTTATAGCTTATTTTAAGCTACTAATAAGTTATATTGTGTTAAATTTTGAAGGAATTGTCATAATCTAGACATTTTTCGAACTCCCATACAATTGACCTTTTCAATATAGTATCACGAGCAAATCAAATTGACACCTGAACAAATTTTCTGGTAACCGTGTTTTTGCTTTGCTCAGTTCAAGTACAGAGTAGCCGAAATGGTTTCCTGATCAAAATGAGAGATGGTAGGCATATGAGATGTGTCCATAACAACCCTCAAGGCGACCATCTTCCCGAGTATGAACCACATCCCGCAATAGTATTGAGAATGGAAGATGGAACTGGCCTTCTTCTTCCTATCATCGTTTGTACGTCAATATTCATCTATTATTCTTTTCGAGATCTTTTAGGTAAATGCACTCAACTTCCTAATTTCACTTGATCTGTTTTATTTGACAGTGGAAATGCCAATTGTAACGCTCATGGCTGCAGTTCGAAATGTCCAAATTGTATGTTTAGAATCCGTAATTTAATATCCCAATTCTGACTGGTAGTTATGGAAAACAACAAATATTTGCTGCTTTGCAGGCCCGACCTACAATGTACCAAGTGTTTAAGGACATGATTGAGAAGATGGGCTATGAAGTAAGTTTCTTATTTGGTGCGTTATTCTCCACTCTTCCCGTGGATGCATTATCCCTTTTTCTTTTCTTTTTTTTAAATGGTGTAACCTGTTTTATGAAGGTAAAACTTGTTCGTATTACGAAGCGGGTAGATGAGGCATATTTTGCTAAATTATACCTCTCCAAGGTATAACTTATATATGATTTGGTATGTTAATTGCGTTGCTTGAGATCCAAACATCTTTTGTTGAGTATTGATTAACTTGCATCAATGTTATAGCAGGTGGGTAATGAAGGTGAGAGTTTCACCCTGGACCTTCGACCTTCTGATGCCATCAATATAGCTGTCATATGCAAAGTAACTATTCTCGTCTCTCCCTCCTTCGTGTCTGTATGTTGTCCTTTTTAAAAGCTACCGCCTTTTTGTTCCCTTCTTCTTCTTCCCTAACAGGGCGATTGGTTGGAGGGATTTTAAATTCCCTTCCCACTTAATTCCCACATAATTCCAAAGGCTATTAAATTCCGTAGTTTGGTTGGAGGGAATTGCAATTCCCCCATTTTCATGGAATTAAAATCCCATGTCCCCTCCTAGGATTTTAATTCCTGGGAAAAAAAGATAGTGATTAGTCAAAATTACCCCTTCTTTTTTTAATATAAAATTAATGTCTAACAACAATAATGGACATTTTTGACTTTATACTACTTATTCCCTTTCAATTCCCATGTATACCAAACATTGGAATTGAAATTCCAGTAATTATATTCCTGTCAACCAAACACTGGAATTTAAATTCTCGCTTTATTCCCAGTAATTCAACTCCCATGGAATTACAATTCCTTTCCCACATAATTCCCCTCCTCCAACCAAACGCCCTGTAAAGGTTGAATCCCCAACCCCAAGGGCTCCCCACACCCCGGCCCGACGGAGCATCTGGGAGGTTAAATCACGGTAACTCAGCTGAACACAGAGACTAGACCTTTGCTTACTGCGCACAAGGAGCCCCCCTCACTTTGAGAGGTTGCTCCCACACTGCCGCTGGTGAGACTCAATCCCTGATCATTCTTCCCAAACTTCACCCCTGTGGCCAATTGAGCTGCCCATGTGGGCCGCCTTTTTGTTCCCTTGAGCTTATATGTGGTCGTCTTAGAATATAAGGTATATTGCAGTTTTCTTGTAATCACTTCATTGGGTTAACACCAAAGACAGCTTGTGATTGCTTAGGCTGAAATCTGAATATCTGGTCATTGTTTGGTCCTCAATGGATCAGAAAACTCTCATAAATGACAGTACTGGGCTGAGGATAATTAAATCAGTAATCTTATGCAAGTTTAATCCTTACGTATTGTTCTTCCAAATCAATAGACGTTTTCTCATTTTTACAGGTGCCAATTCAAGTAAACAAGTATGTGGCGAATAGTGATGGCATGAGGATAATTGAACCGGCCAATTCATTGGTTCTGGGTTCAACTTCACATGGATCATTGCTCACCGATCTGGACAGGTATATTAGATTCATTTCCCCCCTCTCATAACCGTGGTTCTATATTACCGATCTCCAACAATCAATGCTTTTGGAACGTACATATTTTCGGAGAAAAAATAAAACTAATCCAATGTATTGATTCATGCTTGACTATGCATTTGTGTTCATCTCATGGATTTAGGCCTACTGGCCGGCCATGCTTCGTGACCGAGGAGTTTACTCTCTTGCGCAACATGGATAATGCTGCAGCCGAGGGACGCTACATAGATGCAGGTACATACACTTTCTAACCATGTCTAGAACATCTCGGACTATTGCATCTCCCCTACAGATCTCTTCCCGTTTTTCTTATATCATTTCTGCTCACCGGTTAGTCTATACAAAAACGCAAATGGAGAAGGAAGAAGAGGTAGAGTAACCATAATTTTTTTGTCTAGTTTGTTGGGTGTCGGCCGGGTTAGCCGAGTTCAGCCCTTGCTCGATTCGAGACATGGCGATGTGGCTTACCATAGAGGGATGTGGTTAAATAGTTAATGTCCACCTACTTATCACCAATTGGTTTTAAGTAGGATATGGCAACTTAATAGCCAAAGAACTCTGTGGTTAAGCGTGCTTGACTTACAGCAGTCACAGGATGTCTTTAAAAGTCTTAAATAACTACACTTCATTCCAATGTGCTTTCAAGCCGAAAGGTCTATGTATTCCTCATGGAACTTTACCTTTTAGCATTATAGAACAGTGGGAATCGCTGTTTTTCTACTTTTTCTATCCCCACTCTCCATTAGTATTTGACTGTGATGGTTTGCTTCAGCTATGTGGAGGGACAAACTCGCTCAACACCGCGCCAAGAGGAACTGGACGTAGCAGGTACGAGGTCTGTCATCCTCTACTGTATAATGTAATTGGATTTATGCCCGTTTTGGTTCCACGAGTTTGGTGGCATTCCCACTATTTGGTGCACAAGTATAAAAACTACCACTATAGGTACACAATTTCTGGGTTTTTTTCCACCTTTGGTCCTTCCGGTGAGAAATCTAGTGAAATCTCACTGGATTTTGTCATGACTTACAAGTTACCAAAGTTTATGGGGAAAAATGGGTAGAGCATGACTCTCGTACCTGAAGGTCACGAGTTCGATTCTTACTAAAAACCCTCCGGTCGAGCTCGTCGCGCATGGCTTCCTAGTGCGATATACCTCTCTTGTGTAGTTTGTAAGCTATTACACAATAGCGGGTTTACCCATTACACACTTTTAGACAGTGGTTATGAGTTTTTCTTGTCACCAGAAAAATGTCAATTCGCATGACATACTCTTGTAGAAAGTGTGATTTTTGCCTATAAACTTTAGTCACTCATGGTTTGATAAAATCCGATGAAATTTCACCGGATTTCTAACCAGAATGATCAAAAATGGGGAGAAAACAAAAGGCATGCAGCTAACTTTCAATGTAACTAAACTCGTGGGATCAAAAGTGACAAAAACTCGTGCAATTGCAAATGTGAAACAAAATAAAACAAAAACCCTATTGCTGGGTTTTCCATCTATTTCAAGTTTTCTAGTGAGAACATAATGGATAAAATGCAGTTTTATTGGTTATCATATTGCAGTTGCTGGATGATGACGTGTACATAACTGAAACCTGTCGGAGGTTTATGTGGTTGGCTTCACCGGTCTCCTATCACATCTCTTCCTCAATATGTAAAGCCTGTGAATAAATGTGTACAGATAGACTGTAAATTAAGGTTGTGCTACTTCAAAAAACATAACTGTTTGTGTAATGTGTTGCATTTTTTTTTTTTTTTTTTTTTTTTGAGAAAATAATGTGTTGCATTTTAAGTGTTCTGAATTTTAATTTTTTAATGTTCATTTTTTGAGTACTAAAAGTGCATTCTTAATATACTTATCCAAAAATGAGTCATTCAGTATATTAAAAATGAACATTTAATATACTAAAAATGAAATATTTATCAGTAGTCCACCTCGCAATGTGGCCTATAGTCTTACCGTATAATTTGCTCAGTTAGCCAGAAAAACTAATTCAAATACTCAAATCACTAACAGCTTGTTTGGTTCGCTGAAAAATATTTGAAGGGAAATTGAATTGAAATTTCATGGAAAATAAATTTCAAGAAAATAGATTCTATTGTTTAGTTGGTGGAAAAGAAATTAATGGGAATATGAATTCCATTGTTTGGTTGAGTTTGGAATGATAAGGAATAATGAGTATAATGACAAATATAACCCTACACAATAATAATAATATAATAATAATAAGAATAATTAATAAAGAATGGTTTGGGTAAAATTGTCATATTAGTTTTCCATCCAACCAAACAACATAAAACATCATTTTCCTTCACTTTTAGGAAAACATTTACTGAGCTTAATGTCTGATGCACCCCAATAATATACATGATCAAAATAGTCTAAGAGGACAAAATCAATACATTCTACTATTCTACAAAAGATTCACTGTTATATAATGTCATTTCTATATTTCAAAAGAAAAATGGACCCACTTTGGTGAAAGAAAAGGAAACCAATCCCTTGAGTACATATTAATAGTGCATTACCACAAATTCCATGCTATCACCTGCTTCACCTCAAAGCTTCAACTGATCAACTCAATACAGAAGAAAGTGTCATGATTTCCAGAACTGCAGTTTTGTTCTTTCAATAAGATTGAAGTCTTCACACAATAGTAAGGGACCTTCGCTTTGGCTGTAATAAGTAAAGCAAACAAGCTTAGCACTTTGGTATTTAATTTGGAAATATTAAATATTGCACCAGAATATATCACAATATATAGGTAGCTACCTAATGGAGTAACCTATTTTCAAGTGTTTGTGATGTGATTGAATGTGTCTAGACAAAATTTCAGGTGTTTTAGGTGGCAACCCCAACCAAGTTGGTCAGACTGTTGGCTTGGTAACCACAAGGTTATAAGTTCGACTCATGGGAGCGGCCTTTGGCCTTCTTGGTTTTAACCAGTCAGCTATGAGCAACCTAAACTGATCTACCTCATTGTGGTCCTTTGCTGGCTAGGGTCACAAGGCTGGATTTACCAAATGCACACCTTCAGGTAGTAGTTTCAAGACCGACAACTCCTTAACATCTTTTTGTGTAAACTAAAATATTTACTTACATATTTTCTTTCAACTTCTTCTAGGAATTTCTCAGGGTAGTCAAAATACTGTTCACAATCTTTCTTCACTCTTTTGGCAACTTCTTCATGTTTGGTGTCTTCAAGGTTCTTTATCATGATTGTCATGACCAACTTATCTGGTACACAATGTGATGCCTTCATCAAGTCATACGTCTCGATGGCTTTTTCTATCATATCCACTTTAAAGTACGTTCCAATCAGCTCAGTGTATGTCCGGGTGTCGGGTTTTAAGCCCTCTTTCTTCAGGTCACAAAAGAGCTTCTCAACCATTTCAATTAGTCTGTTCCTTCCCAACAACATTAACATGTCATTGTATATGGAAAGATCGGGAACATACCAAATTTCATTCCTCACATGGTTGAAAACCTGCACCTTAAAGGCAGTTCAGATTAAATGCACAATTATGTGAAGAACTTTTAAACGATAATCAATACAATTTTAGTAAATATCCAGAAAAGAGGAGATTATGTCTTCCCAAAAATATGCCCCCAAAAGATGATATAAATTATCTCAAGATTTTAGCTTCCCATGTATGGTAAGAGTCGAAGAGATACAGAACTGTTCAAAGAGATAAAAAAGTGTACTAGCTTCAACTTATAAAGCTAAAAACTGAACAGTTATTGGAAAATGAGGCATACAGTTAATGTGAAAAAACCAATATATGCATAGGACCAAAACTAGAATTAATTCCTTTTAACCCTAAACAACTGAAATTATTAAAAACCCCAAATACAATGCTTCAGAAAATTGCAGAGTTAATTCAAAAAATCGTATTAATCTTTGCATGATAATACCTTGAGGGCTAGCTCCAATTCGTTTTGCCTCAGCAACTCAGTTAAGGCATCCAGCAAATCACCCTTCAAGAGTCTGATCACTTGGGTCTTGAAAACTTGTTCCAGTTTATTAGGTGTTTTTGCAGCTAATTTCATGGACTGGACTGCTTGTATAGTCTCTGTAGACAATACCCTTGACCTCCACAAGGGCTTTCTTGGCCTAGTCCTCAAACCACAGATTACTTTCACGGAAGAAATTGGAGAAATACTGAAACGTTTAGGTTGAATTTTGGGAAATTTGATGTTTGGGTGTAAACCCAGTTGAGGAAGATGAACTCTTAGACAACCCATAAAACCTAGGTGCTAAAAAAAATCAAACAGAGACCAGTCATTATTTGATTAAAAAGCACTCCAAATTTTTCACACAAGGCATATGGCACTTTAGAAAAAGTTCTAAGCATGTAATTCATAAACAAGCAACATTCACATTTTGTAATATATACTTCATGTAAAGAACTTTGAACAAGGGATTTAACACTAACACACATGTATAAGATTAGAGTTTCCTTAAAATACTTTGATAATTTTTTAGTATTATTATCTATAGTATATTTTTCAAACCCCATAGTGTTATAATGAACCTAACAGGTACAAAAACCAAGGAAAATTAACAGAAACGTGCAAGTTTTGAAACCTTTGGACAAAAATGTGCAACTTCTGAAAATTGGATATTTTTGTGTAAAATTCATTTGGGAAAGGCTGTCTTTTTTTACAAACAAACTCAAACGCATTTGGCAAATACGTTTGAAGTATTTATACTACATACACAACACATTTGGGAAATCTGTATATATACATCAATACGTTGATGTCAAAATGAAGATGGCACTGGTCACGTGATGATATCATCTTCTTCTCCGAAACCTCAAATAGCAAACGACGGCGACTGACGCAAAGGCCACAGAAACCACAGCTGCCGCTAGCGGCAACTGAGTCATGGACCCCTCCAACTCTTCTTCCACGTTCTCTTCAATTATCTTGCGGTCCAACTCCGCAATCCTGTTCTTCTTCACCCTAATCCTTGTCGCCGTCATCTTTGTGTCTCCATCCCGACGTTCCAAATCCATCTTCTCCAAATCTCCCATGCCTGCAAATTTTAATCAAGATCTACTCAAACTCCACCCGTATGCGACATCACTTTCTCCACAATAGTTCAGACGCCTAACTAGCAAATAATTACTCGTAATAGTTATCGCTTTAGGAGTTTTCTGTTGAGAGATACAATGACAAATAATTCAATATTATATAAATAGAGAAGCTGAGTGATTGTGGTAGAAGTTTCCAATTCCTTTTGTGACTCTTTCCTTGTTCAAGCAGCCAAATGTCAACAACGACTCTAGCACTCAACACCAACGCTTGTCTCAGCTGAGGTTTTGGATATTGTTTTTGGGTCTTCCGATTAAAAAAGGTAAAAGGAATAGCATTTGGCATATGCAATTCTGGATTTCTGGTACCTAACCAATGCCAACTTCACTTTGATGTATATATAAGTCAAATGCATTTCCCAAATGCATTTGACAAAATTAATAATAATAAGTTTTTAAAACTGTCAGTGTAAACGCATTTGGCAAAAGTGTTTGGGGCTGAGTTAACACTAACCTTTTCCCAAACGAGTTATACACAAAAATATCCAATTTTTAACAGTTGAACATTTTTATCCATAGGTTTCAAAACTTGCAATTTCTGTCAATTTCCCCAAAAACCCAAGCCTTCCTCCACACAACTCTTATTCTCACTGAATTATTTCATCAACACACTTTCCTTCTGACATTGTTTCCTACTCAATTTCATTCTTATTCATTTATGATTTAGTGATCAGAGGCATCAAATTAATCATTCATTAATTTACTCCCAAGTAGTAATTAATTTACGGCTACTCCAATCCACCGCTACCAGCACCAGAAGGGAAGTTTGAATTAGCAGGCCAGTAACTAATTTCCGCTACTCCAATCCATTACTACCAGAAGGGAAAGTCGAATTAGCAAAAGAGATAGAAGATGTACCAGGGTCAAAGGGCACTTTCTAGTTGAATAAAACTCGTCCAGATAGAGGCAGAGCAGAGAGTCAGAGTTGAGCGCAGAAGCTATGGAAGATTGAAGGTTTTGGCTTGGAGCTTGACGGATGGGAGAGCAATTGAAGCCGAGAGAGAGCAATCGGTCGAGAGATTTATGGCGGTGATGGGAGATTTTGGCTTGGAGCGGAGGTAAAACCCAAGATTTTGGCCATGGGTGACGTCAGGGGTTATACTCCTTTCGAGTTAATTCCAGCATTGGTCCCCCGACTATGTTGATTTTCCAAAATTAGTCCTTGACTTTTAATTTGGACAATTTAAACCCTCGACTATCAAAAAGTTTTCAATGTTACTCCTTCCGTTTCCTTGGTGTTAAGTTGCCGTTAAAAACAAGGCTAAACGAGTCTTTTTGCGTTCAAAGTGTATTATACGTTTGTTTCTCCTCGCCGGAATTATTTTCACCTCCCATTTTCAATATCATAGAGCGACGCTCTCCGGTCAGGTTCGACTCTTTCTATGGAAACTCGTGTATGCATATATTCTCTGATCACCTTTTCTCTCTTTTCATAAGAAGAAGAGCTGAGAAAGAAAAAAAAAATGCAACCATTGTTCGGTTACAGAGAAATCTCCAGAAACGAACAACCATTATTTGCTCGCTCACGCAACTATATATATATATATATATATATATATATATATATATATAGAGAGAGAGAGAGAGAGAGAGAAAAGAGATGTTGGATCTGAATCTGGAAGCTGTGCCGGGGTCGGACTCCGCTTGTGATGATGCCGAAACAACTGCCACCTCCACAATCGTCGGCGGCGATTCCGGAACTTCCTTCACCGCCTCATCCTCCAAAGAGTCTAACAGTTCGTCTCACACTCTCACTGATGGCAGCTACAATTCTCTCTGCACTCTTAATTTCTCCATTCTGAAGAGCAATACCGATCAGGCGATCGAAGCTGAAGAGGACTACAATGGGGACCACTCGGCGGTTACGGATCAGCTTGTTCCCGTGGCCGAACAGTCGTGTCCTTCCACCGTGGAGCCGTCGCCGCCGCTAGCGCAAACCTGTCCGGTTGCAACTCACCGCGGATGCCACAGCCGCACCAGCCGGCCGTAAGGAAACCCCACTGTGGGCCTCGTTCCCGGAGCTCCCAGTATCACGGCGTGACATTTTACCGGCATACAGGAAGATGGGAATCACATATCTGGTCAGTACAAACATTTATTACACACAGTATTTACTACCTGCACATACATACGGAGTATATCACTATACGAATTCCTACCTTCTTGAAGATAAAGAAGAGTTGTAGCTGCTATATCTTCTAGACATAGTGGACGAACGAAACACTATTTGCTTCGACTGGATTTTTGCTGGGTTTCCTGGAGATTCTAGGTCTTCATTTGGTTTGCTGCGTCTTATGAAGATTCTAAGGCTATAAAAACTAAAAAGGGGAGTATTCGACTTTAATTGCGTATATGGAGGGAAAACAAACGTAATATATGCTTTGAAGGTAAAAAGACTCTTTAGTCCTGTTTTTTAACGTCAACTTAACAGCAACGGAACGGAAGGACTAACATTGAAAACTTTTTGATAGTCGAGGGTTTAAATTGTCCAAATTAAAAGTCAAGGACCAATTTTGAAAAATCAACATAGTCGAGGGACCAATGCTGGAATTAACTCTACTCCTTTCTCTCATTATGGTAAAAGAATGTTTGATTGAATTTATATTTAGTAAAATGATATATTTTCCCTCCTGAATTTTACCATATTTTTTCTCGATTTATATTTATTGGATGGATTGGATTGGATGTCAATAAATTGACTAACCCGCTATTAATTAAAAATTAAGATAATAATTATTCAATAAGAAAATATCATGTAAGGATGAGAAAATTTTGGAAGGGTGAGTAGCATTACTCTTATTTTAATTTCATTTTCTCATAATATATTTCGTTATATACTTAGGTGATTTCAAGATTTTTACTTTTGTTGGACTAATTCTAAGCTTACAAGCCGTCTCAGGATGAGCTTTAGCTTCAACTTTGACTATACAAGTTTAAACTTGATTTATTTACATCCCTACTATTGCTTACATTATGTTTCCTCCCATAATAGTATTTCATTGTCTAATTCTTTTTTTTTGTTTTGTTTTTTTTTTTTGTTTTTTTTTGTTTTGTTTTTTTTGTTTTAAACATACATTAATCACAATGTTCCCATTCAAAATAACTAGGGATACCAATAGGTAGGGCTAGAGTGTAGATTATACTTCTCGTCTCCATCCCCGTCCTCGCCAAGAATTGCAATAAATAGAAACTTCTCCCCATTAAAGCAACCACACTAATATTTTTTTTTTTTCATGATTTTTTGAAGTGAACAATTTTACTTTTCAAGCACAAAACTTATGGGAAGCTAAGTTTTTTGAGAAACCTTTTTCTACAAAGAGAAGAAAAAGAAGAAGAAAAAAAAGGTGCATATCATGTGTTTGGGGCGCACTTCACGGCCCATCAGGTGTTCCCACGCGTCCGTTGGGGCGCGTCAAAATGGTCGCCAGCTGGCAGGCACTATGACTGAAACAGTTGATTTTTTTTTAAAATTGTCATAATCTCTCTTTTTTTTTTTTTTTTTTTTTTTCTCCCAAGTAGTTTGGATGTCCTTATCATTCTTGCTGAGAATTTTTAATGACGGAGAATCCCCACCCTTGATTAATCTTATATAGTCAAAATAATAATTTAGTACCATTAATTAAACTCGTGACATATTTATACAATAATTTAGTACATTAACCCGGCCACCTCTTTCCCGCATGTGCACGGCATTTTTATTATTGTCTTGATTGCTTAATCATTAATAATTTAAAAGGTCTTTTATTATTATTATTTAGTTTTTTAATATAAACAACTTTTATTTCTTAACCCCAAAAAAACAAGTATAAATTTTATCAATAAAATTAGGCACCTAAAATAAAATATCTTCTTCCACTACGACAGAAATCATACGAAAATTCGTGAGAAATTCATGGATCCCATGAGCCCATGAACGAAACACTTCCCATATTTAGTGGTATATATATGTGAATGTTACTGCCAAATGTGTTAATGTCCGATTTCAGTAGCGGTGGGATTTGCATGGCAGCCTCTTGAAGAAGGAAAAGACTCGCAGCAAATCAGCTCTCTCTGTCTCCATTGTCACTAGGTATGATCACTGTCAGACAAGACACCCTTTGGTCGTAATCTCGGATTTTTTGGAAGAAAAATTGATTATTTTTATATGATTTTTTAGGGTGTGTGTGTGGGGTGGATCTGATTCGATCGTTTTAACTGACCAATGTCGGTATCTGTTGTTTCGGGTGATTTGATGATTTCATTGTAGGTTATAGGAGAAATGCTTTAGATCATTAGATGTACTATGTATTTGTTTGGAAGAAATGGAATTGGGCACAATCTTGCGTAGGAGATGAGAAATGTGCTTGAAAACGTGTATTTTTTAATTTTAACTTTTTGGTTTGGAAACCCGCAATCCTTATCCAGGTGTGTACGGGGTAAATTCTGCCTCTAACCCTAGCTCGTAAAGGACCACAAGGTAAACTAGGTTGCATATAGCTGACAAATTCAAACCAATAAGGCCTCTCCTGCCCGGAGTAGAACTTGTAACCTTGTAATTATTAAATAAACAGTCTTACCAACTTGGCTGGTCTATTTTGTTTTATAGACTCGAGTCATGAATCTTGCAAATGCTAACAATTGGTTGTGATTTGTTACAACATTTGAAATCGAGTGCAATTTTGGGAAGAAATGGTACATTTGTTTCATGAGGAGAGCTCATTTTTGTTTTATTGTTTTTGTTTAGTGGAGCAGCTCTGGGGATCTTGAAAATGGTGGGGGGATTCTCTGGTTTCTTTTAATGCAATAGATAAAAAGGGGAGGGGGTTGCATGTTGTAGTGTTTAGCTAAAAAACTTGAATGATTTAAGCATTGATATTTGATTGAATGAAGGATTTGAGAATAACCTTGAGATTCCTTGATCTACCTATAGTTTCAGAATGAGCCAAAAACAATTTTTGTATTTCGAAAGAGGTGTTTAATCTTCTGGTTCCAAATTTAAGGAATCTGAGAAAGTATAAGCCAAAATCAAGTGCCTCATTGTCATTACAGTTTTGAAGAGCTTAGTTTTAAGGTTCAATTATGTGTGCGTTTGTCTTAGGTTGCCGCTATATTTGTTCTTTTGATATGACCAACTTCTGACAGTGATATCTAGCTACTTGATGGCAGTGGGTGATTCATTTGCAGTTGTGTGTGTGATACTAAATGCGAAAGCCTTTCTTTCATTTTTATTTCTTCGGCTTTTCTTATTGAAAGTTGTATTTATCAACTTGTGGGAAATGGATCTTTACAGCAGTCAATGAATTTAAATTACTACATTCCTATGAATTTTAATCTTACAGGTAAAAACTAGAGAATACCAGTAACACTATCATCACCATGTTCCGTCGTAAAAGTAATTCTCATCATGAGCTGGGGAGTGACGACCAGCTGCGAAAGGTAACGAGTAGCTTTAGATTTCAGCTTCTCTGTGTCTGTAGTAAAGCTCGTCTTACTTTAAATAGGTAAAAACAACGTAAACATGTCAAAGATCTCAGAACTGATCATGGTTACCGTAATTCTGGCTAGACTATCCTCATTTTAGAAATGATTGCTCCTTTCGAAAATGAGTGTTCTAGCACATAAAAATCACAGCAAGTATTGTTATAAGCTCAGATGTTCAATCCTTGTTTGCAGGTTAATGAGCTTAGGACTTCTCTTGGGCCGCTAACTGGAAGCAACTTGCAGTACTGTACTGATGCATGCTTGAAAAGATACTTGGTTGCAAGGAACTGGAATGTAGACAAGTCAAAGAAGATGTTGGAAGAGACGCTTAAATGGAGGTCAACTTTTAAACCCGAAGAAATTCGCTGGGTAAATGAGAACCAGTCTTCATTTTGTAGTGTACACATAATATTCTCGATCAGTTACTTTTTCTGTAATCCTCTTGGTCTTCGAAGGATAGCTTCTTAAAGATTTTGCTGATTATACAAAACTATTGAATTTTCTAGCACGAAGTTGCTATGGAAGGGGAGACAGGAAAGGTCTACAGAGCAAATTTTCATGATTGCCATGGAAGGACTGTTCTTATATTGCGACCGGGAATGCAGGTGGTGCAAAAACTAATACAATCTTTTATTTAGTATCATTAGGTTTAACATCTTTTTCTACGATACAATCTATTTGGATTTTTGACAACAATTTTTGCATTCACAGAATACGACTTCACTAGACAACCAGATGAAGCATTTTGTTTATCTCATAGAAAATGCCATACTTAATCTTCCAGAAGGTCAAGAGCAAATGGCATGGTTGATAGACTTCACAGGATGGTCTATAACCAATAATGTTCCAATTAAATCTGCTCGGGACACAATCGGCATATTGCAAAACCATTATCCAGAAAGACTAGCTGTAGCGTTTTTGTACAGCCCTCCAAGAATTTTTGAAGCATTTTGGACGGTCAGTTTTAGCCTTAACTCTTTTCCCCTTTCCTGCTTCTAGAGTGCTAACTTCAATTGCAAAAATGTCAATTTCATATGTTTTCCATTTACATTAATGGTTATACAAGTTTGCGAAGAAAACATTGTTGCAACTATCAATCAGCATGCTACCTAATCTCGGGAATTGGTATCTTATGCTTCTGAACAAACAAAAGTTTTTGCTTGTAGATTCTTTGATGTAATCGACACGCTGGTTTTGTGTTCATCCTAATAAGGTGTTTTTATCACCTGCATTTTCTCCATCCTCTAATAGATGCATGCTCGTCTTTCCTCTGTAGATGGTCAAATATTTTCTGGACCCAAAAACATTCGAGAAGGTTAAATTCGTCTACCCAAAGAAGAAGGATAGCGTGGAAGTGATGAAATCTTATTTCGACATGGATAATCTTCCGATGGAGTTTGGAGGGAAGGCGACATTGAACTATGATCACGAGGAGTTCTCGAAGCAAATGGCTCAGGATGATGCCAAGGCTGCTAAGTTTTGGGGTTTGGAGAAAAACCATCCCATTCCCATTCCCAGTGGCTTATTATCTGTGGCAGAAGCTGCTGCTCCTGTAGCCCCATCCTGATGCCTTCCTAAGATGAAATAATGATGTTACAAATGTTAGGTGTTAAGGTTTCCTTTGAGTATTATTATAGGATTATAACTGCTCCCTAAGATGCTTTCTAAGGTTTCATTTGATCATTTGATGGCAGCTGTAGTCCCTTATACAGTGATGATACTGTCTGATGCTTATGGCAAAACTGCCATTTTTAAAGCCTATATTTACTCTTGTTATTTGTTCTTGAGTAATAAATTCAGTTCTTCTCTTTCCATTTTTACAAATTTGATTATTTAATTGTTTTAAAAAGTTGTAAATTCAGTTTTTTATTTTATTTTATTTTATTTTTTATTTAATTTGCACATGAGGATTTATACTGGATAAATTTCACCTTGTGACTTCACTTGGCGAAAGACCCACAAGTAATGATGTCAAAACAGGCCCAACTCAGTTGGTTAGGACTGTTTAGCGCGATTCTCGTTTAACCCGTGTGGACGGATTGTTCTATTTTAACACCTCTAACTACAAGGAAGTAAATGAATACGTATTGATGAAAAATATACCTCAAATATCTAATTACGTAGGTGCTTAGCTCGCATACTATACGCCACAAGGCACACCTCCCGACCTCATTCGGGTTCGCCTCGACTCGAGTCAAAACACATTTTCACCGTGTGCAATATTATCTTCTGTACGCATTCTTCTTGACTCGGTACCGACCCCGAAGCTTGATTTGGCGTCCCCGAGCACACAACCCCTTTTAAACTAGAGGACAAATGCAGGTATCAACATCATGTCCGATCACATTGAAAAGGAGTGTGTCAAGAACCTCTTAACACGTGGGTAAATCTGTGTGGCCTCCGACCGCCTGAACGCATGCGCTACACGTGGCATGCATGCGAAGCCCCGTCATGTATTCTCCTCAGGGACAGAGGGAGAGGGGGGCAGGGAGGGCGGCTGCCCCCCTCACCCCCCCCCCCCCCCACCCCATATATAGTATTTGTATGTATATATGTATATATGTATATATAGTACATGTTTTAGTATTAGTATAAAAAAACTATAAAATATTAACAAGAAGTGAGTTAGAGTAGGTGGTGGAGCACAATTTTGGTAATAATAATGAGGTTAAGAGTTCTAATCTTAGCATCACATAGTTTTACAATTCTTTTTTAATAGTTTTTTTAATATTACACACACTCTATAATAAGATGTGTAATTTATAATGTGTTTTCTATTCAAATTATTTTATTAATTATGTTTCATATTTTGTTATGAATATTTTTATAAAGTTTCGATGTGTTTTATTTTTTGTCCATATCCAACAATATTTACAATTATATTTCTTAGGTAGTTTATTTATTTATTTTTAAATTATCTCTTTTGTTTTAATGTTTCGTCTTTTCTAGAAAAATTTTCTGAATCCGTCTGTACTGTTTCTAGAATGGTGTTACGTCTAGAACAGCACATTAATGCTTTGGGAAGCCCGTCATGTATTCCCTTCAGCCCTCTATATAAAGCACATTAATGCTTTGGGAGGGGCCGGAAAACTTTGAGACTTTCACCTAATCTATACCAGGTCATCAGTTCAGGAACCTCCGACTCACTGTCGTTCATTCTCGAGCCCACATACTATTATCAATACAGATGTACAATTTAATGTATTTACACATCACCTATAATTGACTGGCTTAAATCAAGAAGATCAATAGACCGCTCCTTATATCAAGAATGGTGTTAACTACAACCCAAACATGTTTAACTACAAACATTATACATGTAATCTCAGTTCCCATATTCAATCAAGGATGAATTGCCACACTTTATATCAAGAAAACTTCCCAGTGAAAGATTTTTAAACAGAATGAAAAATACAAGGAAAAAGGTAAAGAAGGCAAAGAAATCTTACAGCAAAAGAAAAGGTTAGCAGTGTAAAATGTCTACAAAGTGAAAAAAAAAAAAAAAAGGCACTCAAAAACCAACCATCATCCCTTTTTGTTAGCAACTCAACAACATTAAAATGTAGAAACCAGCAAAACATGGTAAATCATCATCCCTGTCATATAAACCGCCTTCTGAAGTTCCTAGTAGTGGAATGGTAACTACGGACTAGCAATCCAACCCCTATCCCGATTCCCACACAAATCCCGAGGCCAATCCCAACTCCTACTCTGACCCCCGCGTTAAACCAGGAGAGTTCCCCGTCTTCGCCATCCAGATATTCTGTGTGTCGCCAGTATGCATTGTCGTAGTCTTCTTCGCTTTCTGGTTTGTAACTCGTATAGTCCGGTACCTGCCAATTCAATGGAGAATGCTTAGAGACTGGATACTTAACATTACAGGCTCCAAGACGAATAAATCCCAAGCGGGAAGATTCTAGTGGATTAAGGTTTTCACCACACAAACATGTTTGGAGATTCATGCCACTCCCCCTTCAAATATTTTCAGGGGAATCTACACATTTCTTAGCTTAAGATATGATAATGTAAAGATGAAAACTAGCTTAAGGTGTTTCGGGAATAGTTCTTCAATCATCGGTCATGATATGGTGCTCTCAGAGTCTCAGATGATGATGCACGATTTATTTTCTTCCAAAAATGTTTACTTTAAGTTCAGAATGTTAAACTTGGGTAAACTTCAAAGCTAAAATACCCTTCAGGGAGGCCGCTAAGGAGATGTGGGCCCCACAAGCTTCCATAGTGATGATACATGTGTACATCTATCTTCAAGCAGGAAACAGATAATGTGACAGAAAACAGAAGGAGAATTAGAGCATGCACAGTTGCACACTGCTTAAAAGTATGTGCCCACCCATATCTAGTGGCACGAGATAAGATTTTGTCTGCAGTTAAAAATCACGCTAATAGACAAAGTCCTTATGGTCATTATGCAATAAAAAGAAAAACATGTGTCATGACAGGAAGCATGAATACACTATGCAAGGAACCATGTGAAGGTCGGTCTTGTCATGAAAGGTGTAAAAAGTAATGATAGATATAACGAAATGTATCTCGAATTGGACCCAACATCCCCTTTCTATGGAAATCTCCATGTTTGGTAAATGGCTGTTAGCTGTTAGCTGGTTGGGTTAATTAGAGGGTATATAATTAGTTGATAACATTAGCTGATTGTAGAAAGGTGTTTGGTAAATTAGCTGTTAGCTGATAGCTGTTTGGTATAATTTCCTTTCTCAAAAAGCTAATTGAAAAAGTTGCTTTGAGCAAAAAGCTAATAGTGGTCAAATAAGTCAAAATCGGCCTATAGGCTAACTATTTTACCAAACAGGACAATGAAATGTCGATAGTACCTGCAGATCGAGTCCAGAAGAGGCGACATCTTTTTGTGCATCACTTGTTCCATCATCTTCGGGAATTGAACCCAAAATCCCCTTTCTGTGGTGTTTCTTCCAGTGGTTAAGCTGCAAACTCTTGGTTAAGATGATTGGAGTCCCGGAGAAACATCCAGCAACGTAAACTTCGATTGTTGGTGAATCAGAACCCGAGATATGTTTTCCCTTCAAAAATCCAGAGCCAGCACTCATCACTGGTTCACAATTCATTTTCCATTTCCTGACACCGTTCTTTGATTCCCCTATAACACCGTTGCTATTGGAAATCTCCAAAACCCCAGAAAGCACAAGATCATCTCTATCAAAAACCTCAAACTTCACACTCCCCGTCAATCTTATACTGTCTGTGCTCACAAACGTAGCTTCTTCAGATTTCTTATCCACCCGGTCCCTCCGCAAAATGCAAGATGCTCCTTCTGAATGCATTGAACACCTCGCGCCATTCACTTCAAGGAGTGTATCGGGGCTTAGAGGTATATGGTTAAGAGTGAGACTCCCCGGAGTTGAATCATCGACCATGAAATTGCTGACTCTGATATAGAACACCCTTATATCAAGCCAAGAAAGTAACGATTTGCCATAGGACTGGTACAATAGAGGGTGCTTGATAATCTGGAGACCCGAAACATCCAGTTTTCCATTGGTCAAAGATTCATGAGAACTCCCCATCTTTTCGGGACTTAATCCCAGCTTAAATCCTTCGCCACCCACTGATATAAGGACAAAAGAACAGGGTAAAAATCTCGACTCATGCAGCCCAACAAACCCTGTTCAGATCAGCATGCTCTTATCATTCAGTGATTCACAAAATTATTCAGAATTTTGTACAGACAACAACAAAAACGGATAATTCTTTCCCAGCAACTTTTCATACATCTTGCTAAGCCAAACATATCATATGAAGGTTTTAAGGTTGTTAATAGAACACCTGTTTTAATAACAGAAACCCATGATACGAAGGAGGAAACAGACTCATAACTAAAAAGACCACATATGACAACAAAAACATCAACTGACCAACAGGGACTAGGATGTAATTGCCACTGCTTTATGCCAACAACTATACTTAACAAACACATCTGATCCACTAAGAAAGGATCCTAATCATATAAAAAGCCAAGCACAACAATGATTAATAATGTTTTAAAACACACAAGCATAGAACACACTCCACACAAACATGGGAAACAAATTATCCACCAAACTAATATGAATATAGATATTCCAAACAATCAACTTCCTCACCCCACCCCTCCCACCACACTAAGTAAAAGGGGAAGCTTGGGGGCAACTCCAAGTTAGTCACGAGGTTACAAGTTCGACTCTGGAAGCCTAGTGACTAGTTTGAGCCAATCTGCTAGATTCTTTCCAAAAGATTGAACCCCAACCCTTAGGGGCCCCCACACCCAGCCCGACAGAGCATCTGCTAGATTGGTTTACTTCCTTGTAGTCATTTACCGGTTAGGGTCACAAAGCATGTTTACACCCTCAAGCAGTGATTGAGGATTTCCCCTTCACTCAAAAAAGGGGAAGTTCATAATTGAAGTATTATTAAGAGAGAATAAATGGCAACCCACCAATACACTCATTTATGGAAACCCCAAACACAACCAAAGCTGAACCTTTTTCTGCCTCTTCTTAATCTCTTCAAATTCAGAATCAAGCAGAAGTGACTGAGCTGAAACATAACCTCAGTTTCTCAGAAAGAGCAGAGAACAAAAGTTCAGATAGCATAAACAAATTGTCAACAATTAACAGCACTACAAGTTACACAGTCCAACACGCCTCCCCCTCCATCACCCTCAAACTAGAAATTCAGAAATGAAAATAAAAAAATTAAGAAAACCTTAATGAGAAACAAAGTACAGTGCAACACAGACAAACTTACCAAGAAAATCTTGTATCCTATATCTTTCCGATCTATTACTGATCTTTAAATTCGTTTTCAAGCTCCAAGGTAGGAGCTTTTGATCTTCTGCCACCCAATTCTTGCGGCGCAAATCAATCACAGTGATCCCTCTCCCTGTATCTCTCCACTCAATCAAATCCCCCCTTCTCTCTCCACCTCTATCTATTTATCCTACTCTTAGTCGTGGACCGTGGACAATAGGGATAACTAGATAAGACAAGCAAAGCTAGAGTCTTTAATAATAATTTGCGGCAAACAAATCTGGGTTTATTTGAATATTCGAAGATGCAGCGCTAACCATACGTATCTAGGTGTATAAAATCTACCGCAGTAGTTGTAATAGTGACGATTAAACAAGCACAGAAGAAATGTTGATGGTGATGGGCAGAGCTGAGTATTTGGATTGCAATACTCTGATCTTATCCACAGAAAAATTGAATTTCAGAATTACGAGGTAGGTTTCTTTAAAATTCTGGAAAGGGATGACTAGATTTCTTGGGGATTTTTGCTTAGTTTGTTGGATTAAGAAAACTTGTCAACTTTAAATATCCTTTTTTGTCATGACAAAAGGGTGGATTCAATTAAAGACTTTTTAGATTTTTATAAATTTTAATATTTTAAAAATATTTAATTTAATTTTTTAGAAAAAAATAAATAAATGTCTAATCTAGTGATTTTTGTAGACGTGGCAGAGAAAGAAGGGAGGGTGAGAACTATTGCTTATATATATTGAGGGAAAATGATAAATGTACTCATAAAATATAACTCTCGTCACGTGTACAATTTGTAAAATAATTCAGCGCATTAGCGGCACATAACGGTTTCCCTTTTTCTTTTTTTCTCATAGTTTCATTTTCTCTCTCCTATTTGACACCCAAAAAAAATGGTGAAAATGTAAAAATATTTTCTAAAAAATGATTAATTTTATGAATTTTTTTATTGTTTTGAACTAAAGTTTAAAAGTATTTTTCTATTTGATTCATTTAAAAAAAAACGAACATAAATATATCACAAAGTTATTTTTATAAAATATTACTCCGTATTATTTAATGATGATAATAGTTATTATTTATATTAAAAGTATAAATTAAAATTGGCAATAATTTTAAAGATTAATATAAGTATGTAATAAAAATGTAAATAAATACGGAGTAATTTTTAAATATGTAAAAGAAAAAATAATAATGCAATTTTTTTTTTGAAAATATAATAATGCAATTTACTGGGCTATATATAAAATTCAATCTCTTTTAAATTTAGGTGAAAATCTAGCCCACTTAACTGGCTGGTTAATGGCCTAATGTATTAGAACACTTTTTATTGGGTCATTGCAAATAGCCCAAATCCCTCTGTATTTTTTTATTATTTTTTTTTTTGGGAAAGGAAATCCCTATGCTAAATTTGTTTTCATTATATAGTTTAACTGTACTATTCGCTTTATTTAACATTTTAAAAGAAATTATATATTTGTCTTTTTATAATTACTTTAGGTAAATATTACGTATGCATAAATTTGGCATATCCATGCAACAAAGCAAGTTCATAACGTTGATTGATGATGTGAAGAAATTGTCAAATTTATCAATCAATAGCTTTAATAATTCATCATTATTCCCCTACATGTCAATTCTATTTTTTTTTTTCTTTTGAAGGAATGTCAATTCTATTTTTTCTCACAAAAAATTGAATTCTTAACTCCAATCCAAGGGCCCACATGCCCCGGCTCCCCACACTGCTGTCGTCAAGGGTTGAACATTAGTTTCTTCTCTCAAATATTATCTACTGAACCATTGAGTTAAGCCTATGCGGGCATGCCAATTGTATTTCTAATACACCATCTTTCTTGAATTTTTAGATGACGACAAACTCATAATAACTATTTGATAGTGTATACTCGATACATCTTATTTTTGTATAATAGTTCAAAAATCAGATAAAAATGTAAATCGTATTATGAAGATTATATGCGATAAGCTCGACTAAAAAAATATCGACAAAAATTGATCTTATGATACAAAAATCATACTCTACCAACTCAATCATTCTTTTCAAAACTTCCTTGGATTTTTAGTTCCATCCGTTGAGAAAAAATTGCACCCCGTTTTAATAGAAAGTAAAATATGTTAAGTAAAAAGACGGAACAAGTTTGTTATTAGTTATTACTCTTTTTTCCCCACTTTATTATCCTCTTCTTTAATTTAAGAAAACAAGATATGAATTTTCAAAAAAAAAAAAAAAGAAAACAAGATATGACTATCCACCTAACAAGTGAAAGGTTATGGATAAATTGAGGAAAAAATAAAAATGCCAATGGTATTCATTTTAAGGAGGTGGATGTAGTTTTGGTATGTCTGTATATATACAAACACACACAATATGAAGTAATATACAAAAGATGAATTGGAGTTACATAAAAACTCATGAATTTTTTAGTGTTCTTGAGGTCTTATTCGGTACAAATGAAATTATTTTCGAACTTTTAGTGTATGATCCTAGTTGACAGGGTTGAAAAATCAATGGTTAGACAAAAAAAAAAAAGAATGTTTGTTATGTTATACACGGTCTTATGCTAAAGTCTATGGTGTGCACAATTCGGTGAAATATCGATTAATATGTGGATCAAGTCGATAAATTTTGGTCAATGTATTTCAGTTCAGTTAATGGTTAATGATTTTTTTAAAATTTGATTATTGGTTAATTTGGTTTGAAAGTGTTAGTAACCCAATTAACTGATCTGTTAATTGAATTGTGTGTGTATATATATATATGATCTTGAAGAAAGGAGATCACGTTGTGGCCTAGCAATAATTGAATTTGTAGTCTGCATGGGCAGTTCAACTGGTTGCAGAGGTGAAATTTGTCACCAAGAAACCAATGATCAAGTATCACCAGCGACAGTATGAGAGAAACCTCTCAAAATGAAAAAGGTTTCTTGTGCACGCGCAATGGACAAAACTCACAAAAGTCTAGCATCTGTTAGTCACTTGAGTCATCATGATTTATTCCATTTACCCATTTAAAAACTGTCGAGTTGAGGTGTGGGAACACATGGCGTTAGCGATTTCACCTTTTGTTATAGTGTATTGAATATCTTGGAAATTTACAGAACCCTATCTTTTTTTTCTTCTTCCATTAACTTGTTCCCCAATAAAGGCAATTAGAATATTATGACCCGGTCTCAATTCTCTTAGAATAACTCTATGATGATGAGACATATTTCGATTGCTTCATAAAAAGAGATGAACCATTGTTTTATTCATATTCTTTATCCAATCAAATTTATATACATATTATTTTTTATTTGTTTTTGATTTATCATGTATCTCAACTTATAACACACAAAAAGTCTTCATCTCTACAAAAAATTAATTTTTTTTTAATGTTACTGACTCTATTACATTGTAGTATGAGTCAACAATAACTCCACTAAGACTTGATCTCATAACCTCTCACATGAGAGAGATCATTACATGCCATCTTAACACGAAATTTTTAACAAAAAAAAACTGAATTAACCCTGCATGAATATTATTTTTTCATATTAAGAGTACATTTATCATTTTTGGAAAGAAAAAAAAAATTGCCCACAGCTTAGCAACCAGACAGAAGTGGTCACTGGTCAGTCCTGAGACACTGAATCCCTGACCAGCACACAAAAAGTTACCCACACTACCCCTAACCCTCCCCCCTCCCCCCCCCCCCCCCCCCAGTCTGACCACCATGGTCCATGGGTCACAACACTCCAAACTAACCATGGTTGAGTCAACACAACCACACCCTATTTGTCTCTCCCTTTTTTCTCCACATCACAACTATTTTGTAGCCTCATTTTCTTGACCCCAGTCTCCTCTCCTCTCCTTCTCAACAGCTCCTCCTAGGTACAACACAGGACAACTCCACAGTAATTTTCATATGGTCCTTGTGTATATATACATATACCTGTATTCCACATAGCAGATATGTAGATAAAATACATACTATAATAATGATAATATTGTATGGATATAGTGATAATACATATATCATCATTTATAATAGTTGTTTATGTTACATGTGGGCAGAAAAAAGGGGGAAAAGAAATGAGGAAATAATAAGTAGACCAAGAAAAGGAAAGATGTGGGCTTAGTGGCTTTTCTCCTTTTCACACACACATAAAATATACTTCTGTGTGCTGATTCTGTTGAATTCAAGACTTGTTTTCATTGGGTTTTGGAAGGTGAAGATTAAAGTTTGGATTTTTATTTTTTTGGGTTCCCTTTTTGAATCTTTTCTGCTGCTTTTTGGTAGTTTAGGGTCAATTATATGCTCTGATGATAACAGAAACACTTATGATGATGATTGTTTTGTGTCTGCTTATTTAGTTTATAGAATCAGAAAGCTAGCTTCTTCAAAGATTGGGTTTTTCTTTCTGGGTATTTCAAGATTGGATTTTTTTTTTTTTTTCTGGTTTTTTGTGGGTGATTTGATGGGGAAGAAGAGGGTTGTGAAGAAGACAAAGGAGTTATCAGTTGCAATTGCAGAGTCATCTTCCATGACTGGAGACCATCATCATCAACAACAAACTCCAAGAAAGAGAGGCAGGCCAAGAAAGATTGTGCCCAAAGAAGATGAATTTGAAGAACAGACTGGTAAAGAAGATGTTGCAGAGAATGAAACCAAGAAGCCCAGAGCCAGTGGAGAAGAGGAAGAATCATCAGAACATAAAGTGGAGATTACAGGAAAGGTTGAAGCTTCTTCATCTTCACCATCCAAGAAGGAAGATGAAGAAGCATCACAGAAACAGCAGGCTAGGAGCAGAGGCAGAAGAAAAAGCAAGCCAAGAAAGAGCAGCTGATGAAACCCTATTTGCTTTTGTCTTTCATGGGTGACTAGTGATCAACAGAAAATACTATTGAAGATTAATGGGTAATTTTAGTTTGCTGTTTCCCCTTTGTATCTATAAACTATATATGCTTTATAATGTTGTTTATCTCCTCTTATTTTAGTCTCTTTTTGGTGGGAATGATTGAGTCAAACAGGAAATGATCATGTTTTTATTCCTGATTCAACCTTATTCTATAAGGTGAGTAGAACATATGACTGAACTAATGTTAAAAGAGAGTAAAATGTATATATATCGAAGGGAAAATTGCATTTTTAATTCTCCAGTTATACCGGTGGGTACAATTTTAATAGTGAGTTACATAGGTTCGAATCTCTATGTTATGTGTAAAGTGGTGATTTTAATTTCTCGATAACTATTTCTGCCACCAATAAGTCATTTAAAAAGTGATTGATTCGATCTTTCACGGACTAATATTGCTACTTTATGCACAAAGACAAAATCTATACTACATGTATAACTGGATGACACTAAAAATGCAATTTTTCTTATATTAAACTAATCAACTCTTTTATAAGAATAGTGTTTAATGGGAATAAATGATTTTTTATAATGAATTTACTTAATTTTTTATTAAATTTATTTTTGATTAGTCTGGTGGATACCAATGTAATATAGGGGGAAAAGAACTGCAATCTCAGTAGAGTAGAAAGTGTTGTAATATGCTATTTTGTTTAAACTATTCTCTTAAACAGAGAATTATATCAACCTGTAAGATCAAACTATGTTTCAGAAGCTATTTAAATGTCTCATCATCCAAAAGAGGATGATGTATGATGATCAATATAATACTATAAGTTCTATAACATAAACTTCTTCAGCAATGGCAGATAAAACAGATAATAGAATGATCAAAATTGTAGGCCATCATCCATGGCAGTAAAACAAGAAAGCTTTCAGAAGCCATGGTAACATTCTCAGCGAGTTGATCTGTGATGCCTCTCCTTTTTGTAGCGCGATTGCTCTGGATCAAACCCGCCTTCCTCTGCTCCATACACCGCCCACGATGGTGTGGGAGCCATGTAATCTCCGCTTCTAAAGGGTTTTCCAGAAGCGACCTGAAGCACCGGGGAGATTAAAGAGAAAGAAAGAGTGGTTATTGGTTAAGCAGAGAGTGCATTGAAGTTTCAGAAGTGGGAAAGAAAGTAACGAACCAGATCGTGAAACTTCTCGTAGTCTATCCACGTGAACCACTGGCCATCGATCTTAAACTTCTCGACTTTGGCTAGAAGGACACAACAAGAATGCACGTGTTCACATGCAACTTCATACTCCCCGTTGCTTTTTTTAGCCAAGGCTTCGGAGAACTCCTTCACATCGGAATGCCATGGCACATTCTCCATTGTTAACTTTGATGTAGCAGACCTGTAAGGATTCTTTTGATTATATGTTGAGATAGGACAAGGATAAACAATTCTACAAGGCAGAAACTTACGATCCACAATAAGTAACACCCTTGATTTCAATGAAATCGGGGTTTCCAATGCTGAATAGGCTAGAATAGGCGTCTACATCTTCTGTATTCCACCCTTTAACTAGTGTCAAGCGGTAGACAGTTCGTTGTTGCTTCTCCTTAAGAGCTTTCAAGGAGTCCTACAATAATTTGAGAAATCCTTACTAAATTCACCAGGCAACACAAATAACATTTAGGGGGCTCCCTGCAAACTTTCACCACGAAGGCCACTAATCTAGTAGATTAGTAAAAGGTTGCAGGAGTTGAAGAACTTCTAAATGGCCAAAGCCATTTTGTTGTGCACCAGTTGATCTCTTGTTCACATGAAACACCAACAAATATTATAGAATGTGTGCATTATAACGTTGGATATCATTGATCTTATTTAGACAAATAGATATAGGTTCATTTCCTACTTGTAAAAAAGAAGAAAAAAGTTCAGTGTTCATTGCCTGCCTTACTTTCTTATCCTTATTTGATTCGTTTCTCCATCCACTTACCACTAGAACACTACAAAATCCTGTTTACCATCTATCACTGACAGCAGTTTAAGAAATAAAAATGAGAGACAACTTTTTTTGCATATCCAGAAAGGTACTCACCATAAATCGCTCCCAGAAGTCTCCAAATAGTGGTCTATCAATTGCTTTCAAACTCTCCTTTGTAGCAGCATCAACACTAACATATAACTGCATATTTTAAGAAAGCAATATAAAATTCACAAGTGAAATGATTAACGAAGCGTCTCAAACTTTACAAATCAAATGATGAGAGATGGATCATCATTCATCACAAACCTGTGTGATTGGTTTTAGCATCATTATCCTTTCAGGGAATTGTGCATTTGTTACTAGAAAAGTTGAAATCCGCTTCCGATGCAACTCATCTACAAGTGAATTTATCTCTGGATACATAATAGGTTCACCAACAAGTGATAATGCACAATGCCTAGGAGAAAGACCCTCAGCCAAGCGATCTGCTTTAACACCTGCAAACATGTGCCAATAACAACTGTGATATTTGAAGTTCTAGGAGCCAAAATGCCAATAATAAGTAAATGATGGTGAAGAAGTTTTTCTTCCTTTTTTTCCCCTATACTTTCATTTTTATACTCTCTTCCACAGTTTACACTTTACTTCCATTGTCTACTGGTTTAAACACCATGTGTGGTAGATTTACAAAACAAGTTAACTACCTGGAACTCCTTTCATTTGTTTTATCATTTTCGAGTGCAACTCTATTGCAGTTTCCACAATTTCCAAAGGAGCATCCATCTTCCACCGCCAGCTTTTCCCTACAGGGTTTGTATGATGTCTCCAACAGAAAACACATTTGTTGGCACAGGCTAAACTAGGGGTTGCCTCCATGCACCTATATAGTATAAATCCACATTGAAATTGTAACTCTTCAAGAAAGTTGGCATAATCCCAAACCTAGAAACTATGCAATACAATAATAGAAAAGACAGGCATACACAGTATAAAAGCTAACCTGTGGCTCTCAATGCCATAAAAGGAATGCTTGTAGCAACCTCCACGCCCTCGAAGTTGTGATTTTGTCCATCTACAAATTTTCACACCACTATGTGAACCGATTATTTTATACCCCTAGAAAATATGGATAAAAAGAAAGAGGATCAGTTAACAACAATGTATCTATAGAAAATTTATATAATAAAAAGAAGATTTGGCTAACAATAGAAGAAACGAAGCATGGAAAATGAACAATAATTAGCAAACTCAACCGGAATCCTAAATGATTGTGAATAGGGTGATTAGGGTCACACATAAGCAGTAAACAATAATCTAAGAACAGGTTTAGAAATGAAAGACAGTATCTTCTATCTTGGATTCTTGGTGCTCTCTTGCAAATCAAGATATTTTCGAAGCAGTTTTACACAAACAAACACTAAAAGAGCAATGCCAAGTAACCTAAAAAGGATACCTGCTTCTCCAAACTGGCCCTGATAACAGGAGTAACCATTTCTTTCTCCCCATTTAATGTTTCGCCATTTGCCTTCCCATTGGCCTTAGGTTTCACCATTGTTTTACTTGATGGCGCTTTACCGGCAATATCCTCAAGATCAACAATCCCATTGTCCTCTCCATTTTCCTCTATCTCACTATCATAATCATCATAGTCACTGACCTCACCATCACTCTCCTCAACAACACCATTAGAAGAGCACCTTCCATTTTCACCACAATTATTACCTTTCAAAATCCTAGCCAATCTCTTACACCATTCATCAAACACCTCATCCACATTCCCCTCATCTACATCCCCCTCACAGACCCCCAAAACCTCAGCACCCCCAAGTTTGCGCAATCTTTTCGAAAAATCTTTAGCAACAGCATTAAACGTCTCACCATAAGACCTACTGCCAACACCAAAGATTGCAAATTTACACTTGCTGAGCAACAAAGCTCCAACTCTGAAGTCATCAGAGCTCTCGGTTAACCAATTCCCTAAAAACCCACCATTTTTAGGAGGCTTCCCGTCTTCCCAGGTGGAGGCTACAATGAGAACTACACTTTCTTTATGCAAATCCTCAGGCTCATAATCCCTAGGGTCAACGAGGTCAAACTGCAGATCCTTGAGGGCCAGGAAGGCGCGCAGGCGATGAGCTAGGGTTTTGGAAGTGCCGGTTTCAGAAAGAAAGAATATTTTGCCTCTAGAGTTACGGGTAGGATTCTGGGCAGGGAGTAATGTGGAGGCCTTGAGGCGGCGGAGGAGGTGGCGACGCGACTTGTAGAAGAAGAAGATGGTGGTGGCGGAGAGGAGGCCGAGCACGGCGAGTCGCGTAGAAAGAGAAGTGGCTGAAGGAGACATGGTGAGAATTTAGGTTTTCCCGCGTTTAGCTTCGGGGAAAGAGAGCAATCACTGATCAGCGTCAACTTAAATGCTTCATCTTCGAATCCACCCCTGCAACTGAAGGAGTTCCGCCATGAAAAGGGGCCGTCTTTGCTGTAACCTCCCGAGTCCTATACTTTTTTTTTTCTTTTTTCTTTTTTCTTTTTTAACCAAAAAAACAAAAAACTCATTAGCAACGTGATAATATGCACTAAGTAAATTTTATTTATATATAATTAGTGTTGTAAAATCCCGTCTAAGCTTCGGCTGATTACCTAACGTATCATCATAATCGATAGTCTAGGCGGCCGATTAGATCGCCTACGCACCGTCTAGACCTTGATTACCTAAGCCTCTTAAGCACCGACTAGACCGCCTAGTGAGTCCATTGGCTATTGTTTTTATTTTTAAAAATAAGTTATTTCATTCAAAACGATATCTTTTTGAACCAAATAGACCATAAATTGTTTAAATTCTATATGTTTTTTATGTTAATATTTAATATTTTAATATTAACTATTAAAATATTAAATAGTTTATAATTATTAGTTTTTAAAAAATATTAGTTTTAAAAAAATATAAATATACATTTAAAAATAAAAAATAAAATAAAAAATGCATGACGCTCCGGAGCGTTCAACGATTTTTATTTTTATTTTAATTATAATAAAGTAAAATACCCTACATATACATACTATTTGTCTGCCACTTGGTCATGCATATAACAGGTTATAAATTATATTGAAGATTTTGTGTGATGAGCTTAACTATAAAGACGTTGATAATAATCGAACTCGTAATTTTCAAATACAACAAATTATGTTTCACTCAATTGATCATCTCTTTTGAACTTTTTTTTTTTTTTTTTTTTTTTTTTTTTTGGTTCATGGCAATTATTGTTCCTAAACTATAAAAACTAAAATATGTTTTGCCCATCATTACATTACCATCACAAATTCTAGGGATGAAACATGATAATGATGTAACTAAATGACCAAAAAGTATTATTTCTATATAATTTAGAGACAAAATGTATCATTTTCCCTCTATATTTTATAAGTAAGTTATAAGAAATTAGCTAAGTATGATTTATTATATAAAAAAAAAAAAAAGGATTTTTTTTAATAATTTCGAGTGTTTTGTAAAGTTATAATCTCTCATATATATTTCTAATAGACCTTGTAGTCGAGTGACATGACTTTAGGTCTCTCAAATTTCATATATTATTCTTGATTGACATTACTTTATAATAAAATGTAACTTAGAATTTGACAAGATGATACAATGGTTAATCTCAATACTGTGTAATAATCTGCAAAGTGACTTAACAAGAAGAATGACAGCAAGAATCAAACTCGTGAAATTCACGTACAAGAATCATGCTCCTTCCACTCAGTCGTCCCGAGACAAGATGCAAATTCTTGTGTGCATAGAAATACAGGTGAAAGAATGTGTGAAACCAAAAGAAAAAACATTCTCTTTGATGAAGCAATGTTGCACATATGGTTTGGAATTCTGATAGCCTCAAACAAACAGAAACAATCTCTCCTTGAATTATACAATGTAGGCAAGAACAATTCAGTAGCCTGACAAAAAACATCATTAACTCTAAATCTATACAACCTCAACAACAAAACCACTGAACACCATGCATGAACAAAAAAGTACAGCAGGGAAAATTCCAGTGTTAAACTGTAGGAAAGACGACTCTTTTCGCGTATGTTAGAAGTCGGTACAACAATAAGTACAAAGAATGCATTCCAGCAGCTAATCTGAGTGCCAGCTTAATCACGAGCATTGGCGTTTTCCTCTGTATCCATCCATCCAGACACAGTATATATATATATATATATATATATATATATATATATATATATATATATATATATATATATATTGCTTCGTTTTTTCCTTTTTGGTTTTGGACAAGTGTGATAAAATCAGATGGTTCGATAAAAATTTCAGGGTCGCCATGAGGTTTTCTGTGCACAGAGGATACCCTCTTTGTTTTGAGCAAAAGTAAGTCGAATCTCCCAGTTCAAGCTTCTTAAGATTCTCTCGAGTGGGTCGAGTATCTCTACTTTGTCACGTATAATGACCCAACCGCCTGGCCTTAATATACGATCCATCTCAACTACAATAACTACAGGCTGCTTACACCTGCAGAACACGTTTTACTCAGAATCTATATTATATGCTCAACACGTCCCCTCACGTGTGCGGGGGCCACTTACTTTTTGATGGGCTCTAAGCAACACGATGGGGTTGGCACTGATACCAAATTGAAGCATCTGCTCCATCTCAACTAAAAGTCTAAGATGATAGTTGGATTGCACATTTATGTTTATATATTATCTAACCTGTTCTTGAGCCTCGAGAATAGATGATCAGCATGGAGAAGGTCGTAAGATCTCGGGTAAGTTCCAAATGACTCGCACCAGTCGTGGTATATGCCAACGAGACCACGTTCGAAGATTATTGGAAGGGTGTTCGGAGCATGTACAGGGACAACGTTCATTACCCAAACCTTCTGCTGTGCGAGAGCAGCTGCAAATCTGCGAGTTTTAGCCCCAATCATTGAATAAGCTTTGAAAAATGTTAATATTTAGTCGCTTTGAATAAGCTTTGAAAAAAAAAATGGAACTTGATTTACTCGGCTTACCCTCCATTGATTGCTTTCATGTCCATTGCATTCCGAATTTTGGACCAGTCGATACCCAAACCAACAAGGTAAGATTTGTCCACTATAGCTTTCCAGTGTGCATCGTCTGCAATCAACTTTTCTCTATTGTTCATCCAGTCGGGAAAGGTTTCGAGCCTCTTTGGCCACTCCTCGGGCCACTCACTCCCTCGTTCTTCAATTGCTGAAGGAATCTGATGCAAGCAAATTTTGATAGGAGCATTCCTGAAGCATAAAAACCCGGAGAGTGAGGCTATCTGAAGCAAATACTTCCATTTCTATATTTACGAGAAATCACAAAATCAAATGTTCTGCAATCCCTTCTTACCAGGCAGAATCTGGGTTCTCTTTCACGTTGCATAAAGGAGGAACCTTTTTCCTTCTCACTTCATATAAATCATTTGCTTCGGGCTTTTGATATACTTTAATGCCTATATCACTTTCTTCATCGGTTTTATCAGCCAGGATATTCCAACAAATAGATACGGTGAGCGTGGACATAGCTGGAAAACAAGAAGAAACATTACGGGAAATAAAATCAACATAGTCCAATAATGAGGAAACTCAACAGGTGATTGTTTGCGAGTATAAAAAACATTCTAAATCTGCAAAGGACTAATGGTAGACTAACGATGTGTACATTAAATCTCTGGATTGCTGATGAATCTTACGAGTTATGAGATGTATAAAAAAAAAAGAACTTTTTTCACAGGAAATGAATAGAGAGGTCAAACCTTCTTCAGCCTCGACACTATTGTGTGTTGTTGATAAAATAAAATAACCTCCGGGTCTCAGGACCCTGTTCATCTCGAGAAGAAGTTTGCCCCCTGAAAGAAAGAAGGGTTAAGTTCTATTTTTTCTTGATAACGGATGACATAATAATCAAAATATGTGCCGAGGAAAGGCACTAAGCAATTACGTACGCACCATTAGAATGCCAAGAAATGTGGCATTCGCCACAATGAATTGCGTCAAAAACACCACTAGGGAACGGGAGTCTCCGGGTAGCAAACGGGCTAACCACTGCGGGAAAACCCCGCTCGAGGGCGACTTGTGCTAGGTCAACAAGGTCATCTTTCAATCCCAAAGTAAGTGCCAGTACATCCTTTTCAACTAGAGATGCAACAAAGCTTGAATCTTTGCACCCGATATCCAGCACTACACGGATATTCTTTCCCCACATGATGTCCGGGACCATCTATTAAGTTAAAACGTGTCAAATAGTCAGATTTCACATTATGATATGATTGGCAACTAGACTATCTGTTCACAGAAATTGAAGCATGTGCTCCATCTAAAAGCCTAAGCTGATAGTTGGATTGCACATTAATGGTTATATGCTCACACGCCCCATAACGTGTGCGGGCCAATTACTTTTGGGCTCCAAGCAACACGTGGACATGTGCTCCATCTCAACTAAAAGCCTAAGCTAATAGTTGGATTGCACATTAATGATTATATGCTCACAACAGACATGACCATTATGCTCTAAGTATGCCCGCCCCATTGGCTAGTCATATTTTACTTCCTATACTAAGACATTTAAACAAGAATCACTTGATCTAAGCTTGATCGTTTCCCTTTTTATTCTCAAAATGCTGATTTGAATTGCAAACTTTTCGATAAAAATAAATCTGGCATACTAGAGATCATAAGACATGTTGGCAGGTATTGTAGTTTGGCACTTTATATCAATTAAAGTTGCTTACTTCCTCGATGGAATCCAGGTAGTGGCGAATTCCACCCTTCAAAGCAGACTGGTCCTGTGGAAAAGTGAGATATTCGCCAGACTCCACTACCCAGTTTTGAGTCTTAACAAACTCGGCCAATTTTGGGTGTGCTAGATTCTTGTATATTATCTGCAGGGACACAAAGTAATGCAAATTTAGCTCGATAAACATCAAACATTCCTCGAATAGCATGCTGCAGACCTATTTTACCTTAGAAATGCTTTCGGGCCAGCTTACTGGAGTCTCGTAACCTTCGGGGGGGAGTGGAACAAGACACAATTGATGTGCCTTAGGGCAAGTCCTTTCGTGGTGCCTATAACTTTGCACCTTCCGGGTAGAGATCTCAATGTCGATGCAAGGGATGTAGTTATGTTTGCTTCTCGTGTTACACGATTGCCAAGTGTAATGTGGTTTTGGATCAAACAAGGGCCCCAATTTCTTGGTTTTCTTATCATCCACCTTCTCTTGAGGTTCTTGATCCAACCCATCATCACTAACCATATCCTCATTCCCTTTCTCCTCAAACCCCTCCCCTTGATCTACATCTCCATTCTCTTCATCTTCTTCTTTTTTCGAATCCTCGCCTTCGGGTCCATGATCATCCTCCTTTTTCTTCTCTTCCCCAACCTCTTTGGGAACCTCTAAACCCTCTCCCTTCTCTTTCCCTTTCCCTTTCCCCCCTCCATCATCCAATTTCAGCTCTTTCTTCTCCTCCTTCTCACCAGATTCAGCCTTTAATCTTTCATTACCCTCTTTCTCCTCCCTCTTTACTGGCTCTTCCTTCTTGGGATGAATAACCCCAACCTCAACCCCATTAAATTTCTTCCCATTCCCAGAAATTGGCTCAGCAATGTCATCAAAGGTCTCTCTTTGAGAGGCCACCGAGTAAGAAGAAGGCGAAAACACCGACCAAGTCACCACAAAACAAAGACCCAAGATCACAACCGCAGTTAACTTCACACAGAACCCAAACGACTGATATGAACGCTTCACTTGACGCCCAAATCTTGCAATAGCCATCCCCCCACTAAACCTGAGCTCTGTAAAATCTCTGGCCGGAAGATAAAAACCCAAATGGCGTATAAGATACAGAAATAATAATGCTGGGAATACTTCGGGGTGAAGTTCTAGGACGACAGATAGATGCGTTTCAACTGAAAGAAAGTGAAAAGTTTAAAGTACAGTTAATGTATGTAATCGGCTAATCGGCAGTTCTAAAGTGGAAAGTACTATTACCCAGTTTGTCATATATATATATATATATATATATATCTATGAAAATATACAACTCTCAGTTAAATTACAAGTTGTATATAGGCTGCAGGCTATTTATTAGCAGTGAATTTTATGTACAACATTTTTAATAGGCATAAATTTTGATGAGTTATAGAAGGGAATGGATAAAAGGAAAAAAAAAAATAATTACTCTCAATAAGCGCGTAGAGTGCATGTGTCCGACTGCGACAAACACAACAGTCTTTTCAATTTCGGTGGGACCGTCTGTGCGGATAAAAACAAGGTGCATAGAGGGTCCGGTTGCGACAAACACAACAGTCTTTTCAATTTTGGTAGGGCCGATTGTGCGGATAAAAACAAGGTCTTCCTGTTAAAATCTCAAATATTTTCTCTCCTTACTCTCTCTTCTCGACATGTGCATCAAAACCAACAAAAATCATCTAAAATTCTCTATTGTGAATGTTTTATTCCTCTTGTACACATTATTAGTGGGGCTGACTGTGCAAATAAAAACAAGATCTTCCAGCTAAAATCTCAAATCTTCTTTCTCCTTCACATGTGCATTAAAACCTGCAAAAACCATATAAAAATTAACTATTGTGGTCATGTGGATGCTCATAGTACATATTATTAGAGAGTGGTTGTAAATTTTTTTTAGTTAGTCAAAAAAAATTTAGATAAGTTTATAATAAAAATTTGTGACAATAAATATATTTTTTACTTTTGTTAAACGCGTTTAAAGAATGGTGAATATATTGACATATTAATTAGCATCCTAACTATAATTTTTCCAGCTAACTCGAGTGCATATTTTTAAATATTTCCCTGTAGGAATTTACACTTTAATTGATGGTTGATGCTAGTAGACCAGTCCAAAATACATGTCTAATACTCCTAATTATAAATAATCACTTAATTCATAAGGATGATCAATCAAAGTTTCAGAAGCCAGAAAAGTACACTATCTCAGCCTCATTGAAGAACAAGATCCTGCAGGCAGAAGAGACTCCTCCTGTGAAGTGTTTATGTTTATCTTTATCCTGCAATCAATCAATCCAACACTGTTAGAATTCAAGATTGGGATAAACTTGCAACTTCCAGGATTCTGGGAATTTTTAGTAACAGGAAACCGTAGCTACTATCAGACAATGTGTACTAAGTAGACCTTGCCTTGTGACCATAGCCGGCAAAGAACTATCTAAACTAGTCTAGGTTACCCATAACAAACCAAAAAGACTAATAAACCGCTCCAGTTGGGAGTCGGACTTGTAATACATATTGTCTAATTTGGGGATTTTTGAGTAACAGGGAAATGGGAACCCATAGCCACTATAAAAAAGTGTGCACTGGGTAGACCCTGCTTTGTGACCCTAGCCAGCAAAGGACTAGGGGTAAACCAGTCTAAGTTACCCATAACTCAAATAAAAAAGACTAATAAACTGCTCGGAGTCGAACATGTAATATATTGTCTAATTTTGGGATTTTTGAGTAACAGGGAAACCCATAGCCACTATCAAAAAGTGTTCACTGGATACCCGGCTTTGTGACCCTAGCCGACAAAAGACTAGGGATAAACCAGTCTAAGTTACCCATAACTCAAATAAAAAAGACTAATAAACCGCTTCAACTGGGAGTCAAACTTGTCTAATTTTGGGATTTTTGAGTAGAGGGGAAACCCGTAGCCACTATCAGAGAGTGCGCACTGGGTAGACCCTAGCCAATAAAGAACTAGGGGGTAAACCAGTCTAGGTTACCCATAGCTCAAACCAAGAAGACTAAGATCACTGAGGCTGGGAGTCGAACTTGTAACCTTGTCGAATTCTGGTACTTTTACCTGTTGTGAATGTTAACATATTCATCAGTCTCATCTAGTATCTCCTCCTGACATTGGGGCAAAAATGACAGAATCTCAGCAACACAGACAGTAAGCCATGAAGCAGTAAAGATTGATTCAGATCAAGATAATATATGAAAACTGGATTTAATTTCTCTCCATTTCTTGGGCACCTGAAGAAGCTCCTCAATTACATCTTCCATTGTGATCACACCAACCACTTGTTGATCATCAGGGAACTCGCGAATCGGAGAATTCTCTGGCTTATTAGACTCACTCAGATCTCTATACACAACAGCCATGTGACTGTGACCTTTCTGAAACTCATTCAGAATATCATACAAAGGCATGTCTTCTGAAACCCTGAAAATTGCAGAGAAAAAATGACAGAAAAAACTCAAACCTCCATGAAGATCTGGAGAAGCAGACATTACCCATACCTGGGAATCTTTCCTACCATCATCTTTCTTACTGCAATGGAGTCTTCTGGGAGGATTGCCAAGAGATTCTTCACCTGCCAACACGATAAAACTTCGTTTACCAAAACTCAAAACAACATTCTTTTTTGCAGATAATTAAGGTACCAGAATCAGTCCAACAATGTTGGTAGGATATCTGTGGTAAACAGGAACTCTACTGTGCCCCATTGTGACTATAGAACTCATCGTCTCCCTGCAAGAAACAGAAGATCAGTACATATATGGCCTCTGAAATCCAGAATTTTACGAACAGGAAGGCAATAGAAAGCCCACAAATCAAGAATTCCATCCAGATCAAGACAAAATGTGTTTGATATTGGGGTCATGACATCTTTAGCAGTTCTCTCAGTCAGTTCAAGTGCTCCACCAATAATTGTCGTTTCGTTTCGTGTCAAATCGCCTCCTTTCCCAGCCTAATGCCCAGAATCATAACACACAATTTAGACATACATATATACAAACTGATAGTCTGATTGTACATTTATAACGGGCTTACAGGAACACAGATTACCTCGTTGCTGTGAAAATCTACAAACGTTTTCAGCTCTGCTCGACGCAGAAGAACAGCATGGCCTTTGCCCAACATCCAATCCAAAACCTGGAAACACAACCACAACATCTAATCCATTTCTGCAATCCAAAATTACATTTTTATGCAGCTTTCACTACTGAAAATTATGGAATTTCCGACCACCTGAAAGTGATCTTAAATCAAGTTGAAAGCAAAAAGGGTCGGAAATAGCAATAAAGGTTTTTCCGGATATCAAAAGTGGTCAGAACTTGGCTTTCGACTTGATTTAAGATCACTTTCAGGTGGTCGGAAATTCCATAATTTCCAGCAGTATTTGTATCCGAGTACGAACCTTACTGATTGGAAAGGCGACGGGGAAGAATATCCAGAGAAGGAGATGAACAAGCGGCGCTGCTGCTGCTCCAACCTTCAATCCATAGTGAGGAATTATGGCATGAGGCAAAATCTGCAAAAAAAAAAATGCAGAAATATTAGTTAGATTAGAACAGTTGGTAGGTTGAAGATATGAACAAATATGTATTATTACCTCTGCAAACATGAGAACCAGTGTGATAGAGACAAGAATTGCAGCCCAGGAAGGGAGAAGGCTGTCCAAGAATATGGGAAGAGACTACAGAAGAACAGTGAAGAGAATCAAGAAAACGAAAGAATATTAACAGACAAACAGAATTAACTAACTACCAACAGGAAAATGAGGTTGTTGTTGTTGTTCTGCAGACCTCCATTGCCAGCCCGTTGGCAATCAAGAGTGTGCAGAGCAAAAGGTGCTGCCTTTTCACCACCGGGAGGATCTTAGCTGCAAAAAGAAATAAACTTTAGACATCTGGTTTAGAAACACACATACAAACCGGATATCCACAGCCATTTTACAAGCATGAGAGCGGTCTATAGGGCGCCCGGACTTGCTGAGAACTTCAAGGTCGACGAGGCTAAGAGACATTAGGGCGAGGGTGAGGCCAGCAGTGAAACCTGCGAAAACCACCAAACCCACACAGGCAAACACGTTTAACATGAACTTTGGACCACAACATGGGATGTCAAGCTTTGTCTCCCTCATTCTGATCTCCATTCCATTCCTTTCTTTGCTGAGTTTCAAGAAAATAGAATCCTGCAATCCCAGAAAGAATATGCAGTCTTAATTAACTTGCTGGATATGCTGCACCATTTATAGTTTCATAATTTTCACTAGCATGAGGTTTTCTTTTCTTGTTTCCTTAGCCACACAAGAATTATGGACAAAGATGAACTGAGTTTACTAGAGAAAATCCTCTGGGTGTAAATACTCCAACAAGTAGGAGTTGTGCAGATGGAGCCATGGAAGTCTGGTGGCAGAAGTGCAAAATTTCGGAAGCCACTCTATCAGAGCCAGGTTTCGATCCTGGGACCTGTGGGTTATGGGCCCACCACGCTTCCGCTGCGCCACTCTGATTTGTTGAATGCTATGCTATTATTTATTTTTATCAACATCCACAGATTCTACTTTGCTTACAACCTCAACTTTTGTTTGCAAGTTGCAAAAGTTTGTTTATCTTTTAAATCTCAATACATTATAAGACTTACATATTTTATTTTATTTTTCCTTTAAATTTTCACCTAAAACATTATGTCTCGCCATCCTTCTTTCTATATTTATATTTTAAATGTATTTTCATATAAATTAACACATTCCATCAAACTAAAAAAAAATAAATAAATAAAATGGAGTATTTTGTAAATAATTTAATTTGAGCATCATTATAGATGAAATATAATGGAAAGAGTATCAAGTAAATTGAAATAAGCTTATCAACTTAAGTTTCAAAACTAAATTTGTTAGATCAACACCGTACCCCAATTGTTCATCACACTATATTGAGTGATTTGAGTCTATACATATTATTGGCATATTAATTATTGGAGGTGTTCATTCCGTTTATAATTCGATCAAATTTTGAAAAAGATTTTAACCATGTTTTGCGAATTTGTAAAATGTTTTAATCGTGATTTATGAGAAGTCCATAACAACTACTCGAAGGTGTGTTAGGTAAAACTTACCATGTGACCTTAGCTAGTAAACTATCATAATGCTGTAAACCGTCTCAAAAAAAAAAAAAAAAAAAAATTATAGGAAATCAAATTTATAAGGAATGAGGTTCAAATTGGCCATTGAACGTAACCTAAAAATGCAATTAGGCCACTGAACGAAAAAAAAAATGCAATTAGGCCACTAAACACACCAAAAACGTGCAATTTGACATGATAGCAGGTTACCACAAATTTTAGCAAGTTACCTTATTACATGGCAGCTGAGTTGACATTTCTAATCATTTTAAAATAATTTTTAATAAATTTTAATAATAAATTGAAAAAGAATTAAAAAAATCGACCTAAGCTGCCACGTACAGATGCAAGACCATAAAGTTAATTATTTTTTTTCAATTTTTTCAAAATTTATTATTACGAAAATTTATTTAAAAATTATTAAAAATGACAACTCAACTGTTACATAAGCAGGTAACATGCTAAAATTGATGGTAACCTGCTATCAGGTGAAATTGTATGTTTTTTGAGTGTTCAGTTGTCTAATTGCACTTTTTTTTTTTCGTTTAGTGGCCTAATTGTATTTTCAGGTTACGTTCAGTGGCGAATTTGAACCTTATTCCAATTTATAATATTATGATTATCAAATCAATTGTTTGATTAACTTGGTTATGGAGTTTATATTTCACATTCTTCCACATATTCATATCAGTTGTTGTCTCTTGATGTTTTCAATTTTTAGAATTATTTTAAATATTGTTATTTTTCTTCAAATTGTGTAATCTCAATTTAAATTGACAATAACATTAAATATTTAGATGTAATATAGTTGAATTGTGTCAACATCAACGAAATTGCACTCTTTGACACACCACCTCCTCCCCTCCCCCCCAAAAAAAAAAAATCACATTTTTTGATTTATTGATTACAATTGATTTATGTAATCTCGAGTAGTGTCTTAAAATATAATCTTATTAGTCAATATAATTTCACATTTGGTAAACTAAAAGTTATAAAAATGTGGAAATAATTTGGTAGAATTTTGTATTTTGCATTAGTACATATCACATATTCACATTTGCGTGCGCGGATATATATATTCTTATTTTTTACTCTATATTTGTACTCGTCATATCAAGTAGCCAGATTTGAAAGTCCACTCAAAATGTCGCTACTCAGCCTTGTCCGATATGGTGTTTTCTCCATTTAAACTCCTAACACGCCACGACACGACTCCCCGTAAAATTTCATCCCAATCCAGAGAATTTGAGGGAAATCCAGTGGCGTTAATTTCGCCTTTCCTTTTTAACCTCCGGTGAAAGAAATTATTACTCCGTATTTTGTTGTTTTTCTTTTTATATTTTAAATACAGTATATATTTTATTATCGATAGAAAATTACATCCTCCGTATTACAAAATCCAAATCGTACTTAACCCTGCATTCAGGTGGTGTTGAATGTATAGACTATAGTACAGTACACGTCGGACTTCGATTCGCTGCTTTGGCCGTGTATGCATAGCGTCATTTTATCGTCAGCATCAATTATAGCTCGGATTGGGTGGTAGCATGAGCAATTTAGCATATTCCGTGTTATCCTCAACCATTTGGATGTGGAAATTCTGATTCACGCCCCAAAATGGTTTCCATTTAAGGGAAAGATGCGGCTTCTGGAGCGTTCCATTTCGTTTTGCCTCTCCGGGATCCCTCCTCTTCCTCCTCCCGACTTCCTTTCTTATATTTCTCCAAATCTCCGCTTCCGGGTACGCCCTTTTCGGAGCAGAGCCACACGCATTCGTTATCAAGGTGCGAGCTTGCGCTTCATTTCTTCCTGTAAATGTCTGCCATTGATGTATGTGGGTGGTTTTGTTGTGATTCTAGTTTTGTTTTCCATTTTTAGCATTTTAGCAACTCCCCGTGGTTTAGGCAAAGAAGTTTTGCTTTTCCAAATGTTAAAGGGCCAGTCTTTGCTTCTGGTGGCTGTTAGATGAATGCTGGTGTGAAAACTTCAGTTTATTTTTCATAACCAGTGCTTTTGATTGAGGATGTTAAAGGAATTTCTTTGCAATTATAGAAAGAGTCAGTTTTGTAATGCATTTTATAGAGGATATAACTGTTGGTGATCGTTCTATCTGTCCCTCTCACAGTCATGCTCATTCGATTTTGCATCCTGTATCTAGGCTGTACTTTTGGTGAAAGTTTGGGCTAACTAGTCCTAACACTGTACTAAAAGTTCTTTCTAGGTAAGCAAATTCAGTGTAAGGAATTCTAACTGTGTGAGTGAAATATAGGTTTTCATTGGAGCATACCTTGGAGTATAGGTTTACAAGTTGGAACATAACTCTTGGTGCTTTCAGTTGGTTTTACATTGGATCCCGAAGGTAAGCTTGTAAGGTTTACTTTAGGGAAGAGGCTCGATTAAAAAAAAAAAACTTTTACGTTGTAATTTAGGTTATCAATTCTCAGTATATGTAAGCCTAGTTGTTTGATGAAGTCATTTTCAGTATCTATGGCAAGTTGATAAGGTTAAAGTTGTTGAGTTTTGGTGTCTATTGCAGTAATTTGATCAATGAAATTGATGCAAGTGGGGTTTGGAACTTTTGAAACTGTTAGCTTACATGTACTCTAGATTCCAGACTAGCTTTATTATCCTGCAATGGTAATTGTGTTAAGGATGCTATGCTTGTTGAAATATAGAAATTAGGAACCCTAGCATAGCCTTAAGTCGTAACCTAGCCCATTAATGTGTGAGTATAGTCTTCTGTACATATATGCAATTGCATCATTTTTCATTATGCTGTCCTTGGCGAACATCTAAGTGATGTTGTTAATTCAATTAGGAAGAAATCAGCTGCATACAAGAAGTTATTGTGCTATGGATGGTATTCGCTTGGATGGCAATACAACACAACTTGAGATAGATAATGGTGCATTTGGTGCTCAACGTTCCTGTATTTGGTCATCTCCAGGAGGGTGCAAAGTTGATATTGGAAAACAGATCTTTTGTAATAGATCATTGAACATGAACAATATAGTTGCAGTTGGTTTTGACATGGATTACACTCTGGCACAGTACAAACCTGACACTTTTGAATCTCTTGCATATGAAGGAACCGTAAAAAAGCTTGTTTATGATTTGGGATATCCTGAAGAGGTATGTGCATGGCATTATTGCCTATGGCTTATGTATAGTCTTATGGGATATTCTAAATTCTAACATAAAATAATGTCTCTGGCATTCATCTCTTGGCATGTACATCACACTGCTAAAGTGATTCCTCTGTCTCTAGTCCCACCACCCCAGTATCAGTTAAATGTATTGATAGTGATGACTGATACTTTGTAAATGCATTCATATTTTTTATAGCTGTTACAATGGTCCTTTGATTGGAGCTACATGGTCAGGGGTTTAGTTGTTGACAAGAAGAGAGGGAATATATTGAAGGTTTGTATGTTTGTTGATAATTTTGTCATATTTTTCCTCTTGATGTATAATTTGTATACGTTCCTATTGATTAGGCTTCTAGCTAAAGTAAGTATTCCTTGTCTAAATTTATTTTCCAATATTGTTTGTATCTATAACAGATGGACCGGCACAAATACGTGAAAGTTGCTTACCATGGATTCAGGCAAATGTCAAAGGGGGATAAAATAGCAACTTATGGCAATACTTTGATACGAGATTCATTTGATGAACCTGACTATGCACTTATTGATACCCTTTTCTCCTTGGCTGAAGCATACTTATTTGCTCAACTAGTGGACTTTAAGGACAATAACCCAGGAAGAATTCCTGAAGAGTCTGAGTAAGAGCATAACCAGCATTATTTACTGTTAATATAGAGCATAGTAGCAAGCTAATCTTCTGCATCAATATATATTCTGTATTCATTCTCCCTTACTTTCCTATTTTTGTGTCCACACATTTATGTAATCTGATTGTCAGTTTCCGGGATCAAGGCAACCACCTATACAACTGCAATGTATAGATAAAATATATAATCTGATCTACTTAAAAGTTTTAATGGTTTAATGCAGTGCATAATTCTTTATGTGATTATACCTGAATTGGTTGAAATTTGACTTTTGAATGCCTCCTTAACCTACACCTGCTAAAGCATTTTTTGGTTGACTCATATTGCATCATTGAAAAACAATCTTTTTTTTTTTTTCAAGATGATTTCATCTGTTTCTAATGTTTATATACCATGGTTAACTTTTTCCATGTCCCCACATATCTTTTCTAATTCTACTGTTTTATTTATTTAATTAACCAAAGTGCAATGTGGTATATTGCGATGGCTTCCAGTTCTCATTTCTTCTTACTTGTTACATAATGTTTGCAGCTATGCTTGTATGCACAAGGATGTTCGTGCAGCTGTGGACTTGTGCCACCGTGATGGAACCTTGAAGCAGACAGTTGCACAAGATCCTAAAAGGCATGTATAATATGTTTTTCTTTTTGATATTGTAAATAAAATTTGTGGCAACTGGTTAAGTGTCTTTGAACTTTGAAGATACGATTTGGTATTATTACATTAAAAAAATAAAATTGTACAGCTCTTTGAATAGTAAGACACCCTTGCTGTAAGAATAAAATTTTTCCCCTTATTTAATTTGATACATATCGGTGCCCTATAATAAATCTTCTATGTTGTTGAGGAAGTGAAGGAAAGAGTGCTCCTGGCTTTCTTGATGCACTTATTTTACATGTAGCATATTTTAGTCTTGGTTGAATCTCATTCTCCGTATTTGCTATCAACCAAGAATAAACTAATTCATTAACATGCATCAAAGATTTTTTAACTATGTGAATCTTATTTGTTGCCATTTCCTACAACAGATATATCAACGATGATACCTCAATTGTTCCCATGCTCAAAATGCTTCGAGAATCTGGGCGTGCTACCTTTTTGGTGACTAACAGGTAATGTTGTTTTTCTATATAGATTAGTATGAAGGTTTGCATTGCTAGCATTTAGTGCTGCTTGAGAACTTGTTTGAAGACTAGTGGAAACTGTCGCATGGACCTTCTAGTTCAATCCCATTTCAGTTCAATATATCTTTCTTTTAGTAAGTCACAGTTTCAACTTTCAATGAATAACATGGAGTTGTGCTATGTAATTAATTATAATTAATTATCAAACATACTGAAAAAAAAAACTTGAAATGGTATCTATATGATTTTATGGTACTTAACTGTTTATTTATTTAGAGATTGGCAGTTTGGCACAGAGCCTTCGAAGTTCCCTGAATAAAATTTCCTTCTCCCTATAACCCTCTCACAGAAGGAAAAAATATATGCATTCTTTTTATTTCAATGGTTTCTCATCTAAAGATACTTTGAATTTTTCTATTTGTTGCCCCTGAATTCATGTTTCTTTATGTTAAGTGTAGTTGAACCTTGACTTTGATTTTGTTAGACGTAAATTTGAATGTTTGCAATATTGTTTCATTTTATTTAGATTGCTTAGAAACTTGATTCTACCTATGCAGCCTTTGGGACTATACGAATGTTGTCATGAACTTTCTCTGTGGGCCCAAGTCAACAGATTGTTGTTCAACTCTCACTTTTGAGTGGCTTCAATATTTTGATGTTGTCATTACTGGCAGGTCATCTTCCTTCCTTATAAATCAAAATGTGTTTCTGCCTTTTTCCCTTCCACACCTGATATATTCTATTAATTGGTCATTTTGCTTTTTCCTAATGACATTACTCATCAAGAAAATTGTCTACAGTGCGAAACCAGGCTTTTTTGATGAGGAAAATCGTGCCAATCTTTTTGGGGTTGATCCTAAGACTGGGATGCTTATGAACACCGATAATGGGACTCCTATGGCTCAGGTGAGCATAAATTTCGGTACTTTTCTGCTTGTGATCTCTTTATTGCCTTTGCCTACATGTTGACTTTATTTCTAATTAACCAAATAGGTAGGGAGCACTTCCATAAGATTGCCAATAGAAAGCTTAACCGAAGGATGTAGAGTTTTCCAGGTATGAGAGTTCTCTTCTATTTTGTAACCCCACACTGTTCTTGCTCTTTGTTATGTCAAAGTTGAGGCTTTTAATTGTTAGAGGCCTTATTTTGTAGTTTATATCAATGGCTTCCTTTATACTATTTTCAGGGAGGAAGTGTTGGCCATTTGCATAAATTACTCAACATTGAATCAAGCTCACAGGTATCTTATTGATCGTCTCGTTACTGTAAAATTTCATTCCCAATCTCTTCTTTTAGTAGCTGTTTGATTTGAAACTATTTAGGGGGTGTTTGGTAAATAGCTATTAGCTGCTTGGGTTAGTGGGTTTGACTAGTTGATAGCATTAGCTGATAGCTGATTACATGCAAAATGACTTTCTCAAAAAGCTGATTGAAAAAGCTGTTTTGAGCAGCTTTTTGAATTTTAGTATTTTGGAGCAATAAGTTGTTACAAAAAACTAATTAATCAAACACTCATATTGATTGTTTAACCAAGTCAAACAGCTAATAGTGGTCAAATAAGTCAAAATTGGCTGATAAACTAATTATGTTACCAAACAGGGCTTTAGACAAACTGTGTAAGCAATGTTTGTATGTTCTATACCAACGGATGACTGTTGCAAAGTTACTCAAGATGTCTTATCTAACCTTATAAACCATTGTGCTGATAATTTGAAATTATGATATTGTTTGTAATAATGTGCTTTTGTTGCATAAATTTGAAATTATGTGCTGAAACAATTGCGATTATCTAGCCAAATTTCGTGGTTGTTATTATACTGAGGTGTTATGTTTTTGCTAGATTCTTTATGTCGGGGATCACATATATGGTGACATCTTACGCAGCAAAAAGGCTTTAGGTATACATGCTCGATTCAGTTATTATTATCGTCCTTATTTGTTTCATCTCACAATTGACATTCACTGTATTCTCCTTAGAATCTTAAGATTATTTATTAGTTCATTTGAGAGTTCGGTATTTGAGCAGGTTGGAGAACAATGCTCGTTGTTCCCGAGCTTGAGAGAGAAGTTGAACTTCTCTGGGAGCTCAAGGATACACGCAAGGTATAAAGAACATATCGTCTCGAAGTTCCGTTCCAGCTGCTTATTCATCAGCAAACTTGTATTTTTGACCACCGTATCCATTGCAGCATCTTCAGTTGCTGAGGAGTGAGCGGGATCACATTGAAGATGACATAGATCATTTGAAGTGGCGTCTCAAGTAATTCCTTTTATTTATTTTTTTTCTTTCCCTAATTAGGTGCCGACATTAAAAGTTTGTATTATGGAAGCGGTTACTAGTTTGGTGTAAATTCATTTTATTTCTACTAGTATATTATATGCTCGGTGCCCATGACCTTGTAGTCTAGTGGCACGGAGTGACTCTCCCAAATGGGAGGTCATGGGTTCGAGCCTTAGTGGGGGCGGTATTGACTCGTTGTGCTTCAGTAGGTTGAGAAAGTAGTTATGCACAGATACTACATTGTAATAGAGTCAGTAGTACTCAAAAAAAATAATAAAATTGCTCGGTATTTCACGCATACAGTAATCTCTCTCTTCTCATTCTTGATTCTTGTCCCGACCACCTTTGTATTCATCTTTGCCTCGTTTCCTTTTGTTCTTAAATTTCTATTATTACATTTCAGGTCTCAAGGTGCTGATGATGCCGAGAAGGAAAGGCTGTCATCCAAGCTTGTCGAACTGCAGGTTGGCATATTCGACGTTTGTCATTAATAAATTTGACCAATATCCGGGGACTTCCCCGCCAATTGAATTGTAGTAGAATTTAACTGATATAGTCTACATTACGTTATTTTAGTCACATAGAGAGCAAGTGAGGGTCATTCATAAGCAGACTCAACGCGAAAGTCATAAGAAGGTAAGGCAATTCTCAGCTTGTTTTCAGAGTCGTAAAAAGAGTTGTTCGGCTTGTTTCTTAATGGCGTTCTGTTCTGTCGTGAACATTTCCAGTTCCACAAGGTCTGGGGACAACTCATGAAGACTGGCTATCAGAATTCCCGCTTTGCACATCAGGTCACATAAATATATTATTTACGAAAACTTGTATATAACATTGATCCATCGGCTTTAATTACTCGATATAAAGTATTGTGTTTGTTCACAGGTCGAGAGGTTCGCGTGTCTGTACACCAGCCAGGTTACGAATCTGAGCCTTTACTCTCCTGACAAATATTACAGACCAAGCGAAGATTTTATGCCCCATGAATTTGATATCCTTTCTCTGTAAAAACGACAAATGGATTATGAATATCGTCTGCATTAGGGAACAATTGATTATCCCCCGCCATGATTAAAGGTTTGGCCGAATCAACATTTCTGCTGATTCTATTGTATTGGAACTGAATCATATTTTCTTCTGTGTCAGAATTCTCATGAAACAAAGAACGAACTAGTTTGAATCTATACTCTTTGCTTTCGACAAAGTATGAATCAATCAAACGTGCATTGTTTTTGATTATACTATACTAACGATGGAATGATTTACACTTTTTTATGTTATATGTCAACATTCTTGAGAGCTGATGATCAAATTCTCAGGTTTGAACAGGAAAGTATGAATCTTGCTGATATAGAAATCTCCTTCTTTACAATCTTGTGGCATCTGCCATCATTCTTGAAAGCTAATGATCAGAACAGGTTTATTGAAACCAATCAAGTTTACAGGTTTGAACAGGAAAGTATGAATCCTGCTGATATAGAAATCTCCTTCTGCAACCTGCATGGGCAGCTTAACTGGTAGCAGAGGTGAAATAAGGATAGCCTTATTGTACCTAGTCTTACATTACGTGTGATGGGATCAATATATGAATATACTCTCCATCTTTACGTAGCGTAAATACAAAACTCTATCCCGATCTAATTCTGAATATCAATTATATTTTCACATTCATCATTGTTTACAAATGTGCTTTCTTTAGCATTGTTTTAGGTGACTTTGAGTGATCCAAAAGTTTTGTTACTTTGTAGTTGCAACAATGGCTTTAGGAGCATAATAATCTTACAAAACCAAAGAGCTTATCTAAAATAAAATCCTACTTTTGCAATTTCCAGTTGAAAGTAATTGTCTTTTGAGATTTGAAAAAGATATCATGATAGATATTGGATTGTGTGTTGGAAAGATATGCATACTAATTAAGGGCTAAGATGCTTGTAATGTAATCTAATGGTTGAAAGCAATTGTCTTTTTGGGATTCGAGAAAGATATCATGACAGATATTGGATTTCGGGAAAGATATCATGTCAGATATTGGATTGTGTGTTGGAAAGATATGCATACCAATTAAGGGCTAAGATGCTTGTGATATAATCCAATGGTCGAAAACAATTGTCTTTGGGATTTGGAAAAGATATCATATCAAATATATAAGTACATAACATACAAACTTATCTTTCATCCATTTACCATAGCAATTTTGACTTCTTGAGATATGAATCCCCCACACCCCTTTTCAACCTCACCCCGACACTCATCTTCATCCTCGCAAGAGGATGACGATGATCTCATTGCTATAATACAATCACAACAACAAGCACTACTAAGTACGTATGCTCACAACAACGCTGCCATGGCTTACTGTTTGGAGATTATGTGTACTCAAGCCAACCCAAGTCATGGGGGTTCGACTCTTGGGCATAGAGTGATTCACCGTGAGGTATAGATGCAAATACTATATTTTAAGAGTTTCTTGTTCGGTATAGATAAATTATAGATAAAGAAGCACATTATTCATAAAATTAAATGTAATAGATATTCTATGATTTATTATTTTTGGAGTACCAAAAAGGATAACGAAAGTAGTGACCTAGTCCTAGTAAAATACGATGAGTAACAAATTAACAATCTTGCATTTTTTTCTTAATGGTTGGTAATTGTGAACCGTAGGATTTGAATTAAATCGTAATTGGATATTCAAATAAATCGGTTTAGGATTCACTAAAATAAAAAAATCTTAACTGTAATCGTAATTTTGAGTATAATTAAATGGAATCTTACAACCCCACTTGCTGAAAAACCATCAAATTTCACTTTCATATGTCTGCCATACTCATGAAACATACCATCTTGATTTTCTCGAACCAACCTTAATAATGGCGATTCTCTCTCTTAAAACTAGGGTTCTTTCTTGCATTGGAATTTGGAATCTCCTTTGCTGATAATAATTAAGGTTTCTGGTTTATGTAATTGTGTTAATTAGACTTCAAGAATGGCATTGACTGGGGAGGGAGAGCAAATCGGTGGGGGAATTCAAGGCGGTGTAGATGACGCGCCGCCGCGGAAACAAGAAAATTCTGTCGCCGGACCCAGAGTGATCCGGTACCGGGAGTGCCTGAAAAACCACGCGGTTAGCATCGGAGGAAGCGTTACGGATGGATGCGGCGAGTTCATGCCCGGCGGCGAAGAGGGAACGGTGGCGTCCCTGAAATGCGCCGCCTGTAACTGCCACCGTAGCTTCCACCGCCAAGAAACCACCCACGGCAGCGGCGGCGGCGGCGCTCCTCCGACCAATCCCCCCGCCCTTCCCTCCTTCGCTTCCATGACCCACCGCCACAATGCATGGGCTTCCCTAGCTGCCCAGTCCCCGAAAACCCCCGCCTTCGGCGGCGCTGCACCCCCAACCCCTTCCGCCGCCGCCGCCGCCACGGCGGCGGCGGTTGATTCCTCCTTCCAAGAACCAAACTTTAGCCCCCACAAATGCTTCCCCTCCCCCGCCAGCACCGCCGCCGCTACCGTGGCGGAGACGAGGGGCAAGAAACGGTTCCGAACAAAGTTCACGGCGGAGCAGAAGGAGAAGATGTCGGAATTTGCTGACAAGATTGGGTGGCGGATTCCCAGAGAAGAAGAAAACATCCATGGAGTGGAAAGATTCTGCGGCGAGATTGGAGTGAAGAGACAAGTGTTCAAAGTTTGGATGCATAACAACAAATCCTCTGCTAAACCCAACGCCGCCACATCACATCCGCCATTAACGACGACATCATCATCATCATCATCAATCAACAACTAATAATCATCATCATTATCAATCAATCAATCAACTATATATCTTTAATTAGCTAGTCAGCTTCTTCTGCAAGTATGTAAGAGTAGTTATTAACTTATTATGAGGTTTTAATTATGTATAATGTTAATTAGGTAGAAAAGGAAAAAGTGAATGTGTATATATAAAAGCTAGTAGGTAGCTAGTATTGTCAACCTTAATTAGCTTGTCCGATATGGCTTTGTTGAGTGTACCAAATTTGGTATATATGTGATATTAATGTGAAAAATGTTTGGTGAGTGTACGAATATATAGTTGGGCTGCAACCCAAAATCATAGCTCCGATTAGGACACATTTTGTAGTGGATGGGACGATATCAAAGTGGGTACACTTTCTACTTTGTACATATGGAGGAAAAAACCTTCTAATGGAGGTGGTATTAGTTTATTAGATAACTTAAAATGGACGGTCCCATGCAAGGTGTGTTTAAAGTTTCTTTTTTAAAAAAATTTATTTTAATCTTGACGTATTATAATATTATACGAGTATCCTCATCCTCGTTTGATTGAGGAAGAAGACGTCATTATTATTGTCATCTGTCGTCATGGGATTACAACATATATATAGTCATCTATCCTCATGGGACTACAATATATATATATATAGCCAACTATATACATATAGGTATACACTTTCAAAAAAAAAAATATATACATATAGGTATACAGAAACACAAAACAACTCCAAAGAATAATGTGTTTTGACCATGTCAACACGCATTCCCAATTATATTCACTTCTGCAAATCTTCCATTTCTTTGGTCCTTAGAAAAAGATCAGTCTGTATTGGAGAAAGTACATACCTTACAAGTCACGCTATAAAAAGGGTATGTAGCTGTAGGTTTTCCTCGTCACAAATGAAAATACGTTTGAAAATTGATCAAAAACTTGTGATATTCTATTAGAAAATTGAGTTTCATTTTAGTCACCAACCACTTAGAAAGATGACCAGAAATTTTAGAGAGTAAGTTGATGATGATGACTGGTAATGGGTAATCAGAGAAGTTGATTTTTCATTAATGTTACAATAGATTAAATTACAAGCTATTAAGAATCTTGAAACAAATTAGGTTCAAAGTTACAATAGTTCTTTTTGCAAGAAAGTTTTTCCCATGAATTATTATATATGGAAGACAAGTTTTACGTGAAGGGGATGTAGCTCAGATGGTAGAGCGCTCGCTTAGCATGCGAGAGGTACGGGGATCAATACCCCGCATCTCCATTTTACTATCCTGATCTCTCTTGTCGTTGTTTGTCCACTACCTTTCGTATGTTATAGGTGCTATTACTGCTTACTCCTGAGGAGACTAGGAGAGGCACTGAAAAAAGGGTACAAATTGAATTCAGTAATAAGAATCAAAGTTTGAGAATTTTGTGGGTTTATCCCTTCTACATTATCATATAATTTCATTCCGTATAAATTTTTTTTTACACAACTCACTGACAGATAGTGACTTGGCTATGTTGGAGTTCTGTCCAAGCGCCATCCACTACGATTTCTGTGTGCCTCCTCCTTCCCTTTTCAACGAGATATGACATTATTACGATATAGTACCCGACCAGCTCTCCCTAACTACTCATTCTGAGTGTTGTCTGGTTTCCTCTCTCTCCCTCAGCCATCACCTTTGAGTACCTGCTACATACCCTCCCCGTCTTCATTCAGCTCTTCTAGGTCGTTGCAGAGGGCAAGAGGTCCCTCGACTTTGTTACTATCTCTTAGTGCGACGGTCTGTGCTTTTATTCTCGATAATATTCTCATTTTTAATCTCAGTATATTGTAATAAGTATGTGAGCTTGTACTTGTCTTAACATTTAGGAATAAATCATCTTACATCTCATTACATGTTTTGCATATTTTCATTCATTTTATTCTAATCATCCCGTTTCTGGGTGACCATTGATTTAAAAAATCACCATTTAAGTAGTAATATTGTTGTTTTTTTTTTTTTTTTTTTTTTTTTTTTTTTTTTTGAAAATAAGTAGTAATATTGTTAATCTTTATCTTGTAATGATAAATAATTAATGAGATAGTATTATATGTTTGAATTACACACTACACATAAATAGTTTGAAGATTATATTCTTCAATAACTTCTAGAAGAAGCTAAGTATCAAAACCTTAAAGATCGTTTATCATTAGATAAAGATGAAGAAGTGAAGAACGCATGTGATAAAGAAGTTCAATATCATGGGCTTGTCATATAAAAGGACAAGGATTTAGGAATCTTTTGAAGGGTGTTTGGCGTTAGAATGAATTCAGCATATATATTTTATGGAATTAGGGTTAAAAGTAATAATTGTACAAAGAGTTCTATTATATGCGCATGTATTTTCAATTCTTACTCTCTCAATTTTATTCTCTAATGTTCTATAGTACAATGTCTTATTAACTAGTACGATTTACTTATTCTTTGTGATTTGCGAACTATTACTGTATTACATAGGAGTGACGTTTATCGGTGTGTACTCTAAGGTAGTGGATATGAGTTTCCTTCGTTATTAAAAAATTAAATTAAATAAATAAAAGGATTGGAACATGATTCTCGTATCATAATATCACGAGTCACAAACCCGTTGCAATGGGTCTTCCTACTGCTTTACATTTTCTCTGTGGTTTGCGGATTATTATACAGGACTAGAGTTTACTTAGTGTATATAATCAGATAGTTTATGCAAGTTTCTTTCGCCACTCAAAAAGAAAAAGAACTAAAACATGATTCTCATATTAAAAGATCATAATGAGTTTGATTATTACCAATACTTTTTCATATCAGTCCGTCACACAGTCATTTTAGTACAATTTACTAATCATTCTTCTAAATAGGTTATACTTAAAGCTCACACAACATTGTGGAATAGATGGATTTGAATTTCTCTATGAACAAAAAAAAAAAAAAAAAGGAATGAATTAAACTAGTACAATTGCTTATTGTCTCTACCTAGTTCTCTCTAGGGTTTTCACGTCGGTATCTCGACTTTCCGGCACGGACGATCTCTCCGTTTTCGATCAAGCTTCTCCAGCAGCAGGTTGGGCGAGCATGGCTACCAGTCACACCAGCAGCGACGTAGCAGGGTTGACGAGGAGATGAGCGGATCTTGTTTTGGAGGAGGAGGCCGCGGCTTTTATGCCGGCGGTGGAGGAAGGCGAAGGCAGTGGTGAACCGGACGCCGTGGAGGAGGAGTGGGCGGTCGTCGGCCGTTTCTTGACACGAAAGCTGGTCAGGTTGGAATTTATGAGTCAAGTTATGGCATCTGTATGGCAACCGGTCAGTGGTGTGGAGGCGACGGAGGTGGAACCTGGTCGTTTCTTGTTTATCTTTCACCATGTGATGGATATGCAGCGTGTTCTGAATGATGGGCCTTGGTCGTTTGATAACAACACTTTTGTATGCAAGTAGGTCCCGGATGGAATGTCCCCGTGTGATGTTGAGCTTGATTCGGTTGATTTATGGATACAACTCCATGGTTTGCCGAAGGGGTATGCGTCTGCCGTAATATTGGAACAGATTGGGAATTTCTTGGGGAAGTTTGTCAAGGCGGATGACCGTTTTGATAATGCACCATGGAAGATTTTTCATCGAATTAGGGTTTCGTTGGCTGTTGACAAACCGTTGAGGAGGCGTATGAATTTTATTAAGAGGGATAAGACGAGTTGCTGGGTGAATTTCAAGTATGAACGTCTGCACACATATTGCTATTTTTGTGGACTGTTGGGACACTCATACAAATTCTGTCGGGGAGCGAGGGATTCGGTGCTACCGATGGAGGAATATTTGTATGGCCCGGAACTGAAGGCGGGGGGATCTCGGGGTCCTCGACCGGTCGGTGGGAGCTGGTTGTTACCGACCGGCCGACAGAAGGAGCCGAGGCAGACGGCGGATGTGGCGTCGGGTGGTGCAGCGCCGGTAGAAGCTAGCCGGGCCGGTAACGCCAGGGAGGCGGAGCTGGTGGCCGTGTCTAAGCGGCGCCGTGAGGTGACGAATGAAGGAGGGCGGGGAAGGGTGGAGGAAGATGTTGTTATGGCAGAACAGTCAAAAAACTTGCAGCAGGCGGGTTCTGGTTCCCAGACCCGCCCGACCCAATGAGTACCCTTAGCTGGAACTGTCGTGGCTTGGGTAATCCACGGACAGTTCGTGAAGTTCTGGACTTTGCGTCCCGTAAGAAACCCGACTTTATTTTTTTGATGGAAACTATGGTTGATCGGTCACATGCTGAACGTTTACGTGTCAAGTTAGGTTTTGATGGTCTTTTCTGTGTGGATAGTGATGGTGTGAAGGGTGGTATAGCATTGTTGTGGCGAAGAAATAATACAGCTAGTCTGCTCAGCTATTCGGATAATCATGTGGATATTGAGGTCAGTATGCATGGCTTTCCTAAATGGCGAATGACTGGTTTTTATGGCTTGGCACAGCGACCCAGACGTGAGGAATCATGGGGAAAGTTACGATCTTTGGCTACCAAGTCTAACCTGCCTTGGGTAGTAGTTGGGGATTTTAACGACCTTCTTTTTCAGCACGAGAAACGAGGTGGAAACCCACACCCTGATAGGCTCCTACGCGGTTTTGGGGATACTATTGAGGAGTGTGGCCTATCTCAGATGGCTATGCAGGGATATCCGTTTACATGGGAGAGGGGAAAAGGAACGGCGGACTGGATAGAGGAACGTTTGGATAAAGTATTGGCCTCGGATGAGTGGCGCGAGATTGTTGCAGGAGCCAGAGTATCAAATCTTTTAACCCGCAAGTCGGATCATTTGGCTCTCTTTCTAAGCATCCATGACTCCGTAGGGAGGGGTGGGGCTAGTAGGAGGGGTTTCCGTTTTGAGAATGCATGGTTATATGATGAGGGATGTCGGGGTGTGGTGGAAAAAGCATGGGATGAAGGAAAGGACCGTGGACTACAGGATTGCATAAAATTCTGTGGCTCTCGGCTATCTCGGTGGGGGGGTGACAGGTTTCATATGTTTGGAGAGAGAATTATGAGATTGCGGAAAGAGCAGCTGCGTCTGAGAGGAAAAACGGATCCAGCCTCGTTAGCTGAGTTCCGGTCGTTGGAGGAATGGCTATGCCGAACAGAGACGCAGGAGGATGCATTCTGGAGACAACGAGCTAAGCAACACTGGCTCAAGGGTGCCGATGCCAATACAAAATTCTTTCACAGGTATGCCTCTCATCGTAGAAAGAAAAATAATGTTGATAAGCTTATGAATGATAATGGGGATTGGGTGGAAGGTGAGCCTATGAGGGGGATTGTTTTACAGTATTTCCAAGATATTTTTGCCTCGGGAAACCCGGAGAATGGGGAAAATCTCTTTAATAGTATTGCCCCGCGTGTTACTCTGGCACAAAATGAATCTTTAGTCCGGCCGTTCACTAACGATGAGGTCAAAACTGCTCTCTTTTCTATGTATCCTGACAAGGCACCAGGCCCGGATGGAATGAATCCTGGCTTCTATCAACATTTTTGGGATGTGGTAGGAGGGGATATGTCATCCTTTATAGTCAATTGTTTGAATAATTGCAGCTTCCCAGCAACTCTGAATGAAACGGATGTGGTATTGATCCCAAAAAAGCAAAACCCGGAACGAGTATCTGATCTTAGGCCAATTGCGTTGAGTAATGTGATATATAGGGTAATGGCAAAGGTGATGACTAATAGAATGAAACCCTTGATGAATGAGACTATATCGGATTCCCAGAGTGCGTTTATACCCGATAGGCTTATAACGGATAATATCTTGATAGCATCGGAGGTTGGCACCACAGGAAACAGTGTGGTGCTGTTGGATGGGCTGCACTAAAATTAGATATGGCAAAGGCATATGATCAAATGGAATGGTCGTTCCTACATGGGATGCTTGTGGCCATGGGTTTTGATAAAAAATGGGTGGATTTAATTATGTTATGTGTGTCTACTGTATCGTACAGGTTTTTAATTAATGGCTCTCGTACTGATTCAGTTACACCTACTCGTGGATTGAGGCAGGGGGACCCATTGTCTCCGTATCTATTTATTATCTGTGCAGAGGGACTCTCTATGATGTTGCAACAGGCACAATTGAATAATAGTATTCATGGATGTAGAGTGGCTCGGGGAGCTCCCCCAATATCCCATCTCTTCTTTGCGGATGACAATTTGTTGTTCTTTAAGGCCAATTTGCAGGAAGCAAGTGTGATAAAAAGATGCCTAACGGCATATGAGAAGTTGTCAGGACAAGCGGTAAACTATCATAAATCCAGTATTTGTTATAGCAAAAATACTACTGAGGAGGACAGAGGCATGGTGGCGCAGGAACTGGGGGTGTTGCAAGCCCCGAATTTTGGTAAATATCTGGGGCTTCCGTCTTTTATTGGTAGAAATCGAAAGGCAGCTTTCTCGTATATTGAGGAAAAGATTAAACAGAGAATTGGTTCATGGAATAAGAAGTTGCTCTCTCAGGCTGGTAAGGAAATATTATTGAAAAGTGTGGCTCAATCTATGCCTACCTTCTCAATGAGTGTCTTTTTACTCCCTATGAATGTTGTTTCTTCTATTGAGAGAACCATGAACAGGTATTGGTGGAACTCAGGCACTAATCAGGGAATACATTGGAAGGCATGGGATAAATTATGCATCCCTAAGAAATATGGAGGTTTGGGTTTTAAGGAACTCAGGGCATTTAATTTGGCAATGTTGGGAAAGCAGGCATGGCGTTTACTCACAAGGCCAGAATCCCTAGTGGCACGTATTTATAAGGCCAGGTATTATCCGAAAGATACTTTCTCACAGGCACATCTTGGGAATAATCCAAGTTTTTGTTGGCGAAGTATTATGGCAGCAAAAAGCATGGTTTGTACTGGCGTGAGGCGGAGGATAGGGAATGGCAAGGACACGAGAATATGGGATCATCCCTGGCTGCAGGATGAGCAGAATCCAATTATTCAAACATAAATGCCACCACAACTCGCCGATGCACGAGTTTTTGGATTAATTGACCAAGAGACGGGGACATGGGATACTTCCATTTTAACGGACATTTTTGTGCCAGAAGATGTACCCAGAATTCTGAAAATTCCCATATCACCAGATTATGAAGATACGTGGTATTGGCATGATGACCCAAGAGGATTGTACTCTGTGAAAAGTGGTTATAAGTGTATTGTTGGCAGGTATGATAATACGATTACTCCCTTTAATAGATGGCAAGTGTTATGGAAGCTCAAAATCCCCCCAAAATGGAAAACCTTTCTATGGAGAGCTTTGAGTGACATTCTTCCCACTACTATGAATCTGCGAAACAAGAGAGTTGATATTGAGCCTAGTTGTGCTATGTGTGGAGTGTTATATGAAGATACCATGCATGCCCTGGTCACGTGTGACTATGCCAAGGCTGTATGGGGGCAAGCTAACCTCCCAATCCCTATTATCCAGACGAATATTTTTAATGAATGGTTTAATATGATTTTGGATAATTTGGACACTGATGGTCTGGTGTATGCAGCTGCAATCTTATACCATATTTGGAGAGCAAGAAACAATGCCGTTTGGGACGCCTATATGCCGATGCCGAAGAAGACGCTAAGGACGGCCACCATCACGATGAAGGCATGGTGCGCCGTGCACCGTGGAACCGAGAGCAACCCTGCACCGCCGCACACCAATACAGTCACGGCCACGCCAGGGCAACACACTCGCAGGTGTTATGTGGATGCGAGTTATCACCATGCCACGAATACGGCCTCGGTAGGTGCAGTTCTTTTGAATGGAAACGGACAATATATCTCTGCCTATGTCTCTTCACTTCCAAATTGTTTCTCGTCTCTTATGGCGGAAGCATTGGCATGCAAGGAAGCTTTGTCTTGGCTAAAGAATCGTGGAGAGGAAAGCTTGGAATTACTCACGGACTGTTTAACGGTCAAACAATACCTAACTACTTCAGCTAGTACCGATCGATCATATGTTGGCTACGCAATAGATGGTTGCAGGAATTTAATTAATTCTTTACTTTCTTGTTTAGTTGTTTTTATTCCTAGATCAGAAAACTATTTAGCACATGCTTTAGCTACTTCAGTTGTTAGTCAAACTTCAGCTATGTACTGGGATGCGAACCCACCAGCACAAATCTCGCATTATTTTGAATAAATTGCCACCTTGGCTCCTTTAAAAAAAAAACTAGTACAATTGCTTTAAAGCCTTAAAGATTAATTCTTTGGATAGCATTGGACCACGTATCGTTATTTAATAATCACTTATTTATAAATCATGCACCTTACAAATATTAATTACTAACATTAAATTTGAAATGCATATAGAATGATATCATATTTTTATTCTTATTTTGAGAATGAAGTTAACATATTTTTATTCTATTTTTTTAATCTTCAAACTTCCAAAACTCCATGGTTATATTTATCATTAGTTTCGTCTCTAAATTGTACTAAAATAATGTATCTCTTCGTTATACTATCGTTACACTTCATCTCTTAGTTATACCGTTATCACTTTTCATTTTTCATTTATTTATGAAGTGACTTTTTTCTTTTTTTCATCCATCAATTATTTGGAGAGTGACATTCTTAATCTAATAACAATAATAGAACTCAATCTATACCGACTATTTTGAATTTAGTTCTGATCGTAATTGTTGAATTTGACTCTTAATAAAAAAAAATTAAATATGACTCTTATAAAAATGTACCTTTTACAATACTCGAATCAAATTTTTAACATTACAGAGTCCTATTAACCACATAAATTATATTGTCTTTTTATTATAGTTAGTATAGTAGTATATACTTAACATAATTATTATTATTTTAGATATGTAGGTCAAGTGACAAATAAATTCTCTTTAATTTATAAGAAAAAATTTTAAGATAACTTGAGTTTAATTTTAACGAGTGATGATTTCTTCTGAACCAGCTTCCGTATTTTCAAAGCCAGCAGAGATTAGTCCGGTTTACACCAAAAAAAAAAAAAAAAAAAAAAAAAAAAGTTTGTAATTTAGTATAGTACATTAGTACTCCATACTATCTAATCAACATGATTAGTTTGGGAAGAACATAATTAATTTTTTTAAAATGTGTTTTTTTTTTCCGCAGCACGTAGAAAACAATCAGCGCCTCATGGCGGCTACTATAAATAGGGGATGCAAGCAAAGGAAGTGCGGCGGAGAGGGTGGGGAAGATAAAAGTAGGGGAAATTCTCCAGGAAATTTCCCTTTGCAAACTCTCCAACCAAAGCGACTATTTGTAGAAAATGGGGGCTGAATTTCAATGCAAAATCGACGAGAACGAAGGAGAAAGTCCCCAGGAGAGTTGTGTCGGAGGCGGCGGTGGTGCTGCTGCTCCGGTGGTGGTGGGCCTGCAGCCCGCCGCCCTGGTGGATCATGTGGCTAGGGTCGATTTGTGTCTTCTCTCCCAAATCCCCGGGGAGTGTGGTGGTTCCTTTCCTGTATCCCCCCCCCCCCCCCCCCCCTCTCTCTCTCTCTCTCTATTGAATTTTTGAGCTTTTTTTAGGTTCTGTTAAGAATGAGAACTCTTTCTGATTTCTTCTGGTTCATAACCTTTGAATCTAGCAGTCAGGAACTGAGTTGAAATGCCTAATTGCATCAAAATTGAATCTTTTTGGTGACTGAGGAAAATTCGCAGCCACTACGAGAGTGTGTATTGGATAAACTCTGCTTTCATTTCATGCCTTGTGAATTGTGATCCTAGTCAACAAAGGGTTACCTAAACCAACATAGGTTGTGTATAGCGGAACCTTCTTAATAAGAAGGGTAATTGGCATTTCTTGCTGAGAATCGAACTTGTAACATTATAATTACAAGTGAACAGTCTGACCAACTTGGCTTGGTTGCCTATCAAAATTGAATCTTTGAATCTTTAGGAGTGTGTCTATAACTCTGTATGCATGGTCAGTCAGGAGCTGGGTTGATAACTATGGTGAATTTTCAATTTCAGCTGACTTGTAAGAAACTGTTTGTAGGATTCATTACATCTCACCTTTAATCAAGCAAATAAAGATGCAAAAGGTTTTGCTTAACTGCATTTTTCTGCTTATAAGTGCCACAGTAGAGTCTCCATTCAACAATTTAGAACTTGCAAATCACCTTATGTATACTTCCCAAAACTAACTAGGGGAAACAAAAATGGCAGTATGATTCTCGAAATCGAAAACTGACTAACCTTTGTGAATTTTAGCTGCAAAACTGTGGATTTAGAGTGCTGCTATCTATATGACTTTGGTAGATTTTTTTAGTTCTGGCTCTGATTCTTGGCACTACTTGTGTCAACTGAAGGTTGCAACTGAGGAGCTGAATCATATTTTGGATAAGGTTAATGCCTATATCCTTCCTACCACGGAAAATCCTTCTCCGTTGAAGACCATAGCTGGAGGAAGTGTAGCAAATACTATCAGAGGCTTGGCTGCTGGATTTGGGATTCAATGTGGAATAATTGGGGCCTACGGGAATGATCAACAAGGAAAGTTATTCGTAAGTAACATGAGCTCTTACAAAGTGGATATCTCTCGGTTGAGGCTGAAGAATGGACACACAGCTCAGGTAAGCATAGTTCTGATATTTTAGCTCTAGATCATTGATACCAAGTGCTGAACCCGTTTGAACTTTGGTGTAACAGTGTGTCTGTCTGGTTGATGAACATGGCAATCGCACAATGCGTCCATGTCTTTCAAGCGCTGTGAAAGTTCAGGTGCATGCCACCACTTTTTCCTAGTCAAAAAACGAGTTCATGATTCTCAACATTGCCTAATGTGAATCTTATTGTGTCATCCCTATCAGGCAGATGAATTGAAAAGAGAGGATTTCAAAGGATCAAAGGCAAGTGTTATACTCAACATGAGGCAGTTTTTTTTTTTTTTTTTAATATAATTTAAAAGAAATTCCTGTTAGTAACTTGCTGGACCATGTTTTTTTGATGGTGGTTGCTTTTACAGTTTCATCATTATCCTCATTTCCTTTGTAACAGTGGTTAGTGCTAAGATATGCAATACTAAACTTTGATGTTATCAATGCGGCCGTTCAGATAGCCAAACAAGAAGGCCTCTGTATTTCGCTAGATCTGGCCAGCTTTGAGGTAACACCTTGCTCAGACTCTATGTTAGATGTGATGGTGGCGGGCATGTGGGTGGGTTTGGTTGGGGGGGGGGGGGGGGGGGTTTGTCGCTAATTTCATAAGTTTTGAGAACTGGAATAGGAAAAACATTTACACATTTTCTTGAAAACCACACTTACTGTTTCCTTCAGGTTGTTAAGAATAACATATGAATGAAAATGAAATTTTACATTAAAATTATGAGAGTTACTATCCTACTATATTAGACATACGAGGTATCTGGAGTTTGTATGACAAGTTTAACATTTGTTGACTGTTTGCGATAACCTTCTACTTGAGCAGATGGTGAGGGAGTTTAGGCAACCACTTATCCAGTTATTAGAGTCGGGGAATATAGACCTTTGTTTCGCGAATGAGGATGAAGCGAAAGAGCTGCTAAGGTGATTGCTTATTGTTTTCTGATTTTTACTTTAAAATAGACAATGGAGCTTGCACAAGTAGTTTTGATTTGTTTTATCATTTCATCAGTAGTGAAGAAGAAGATACAGATCCTGAGGTGGCACTTGAATTCATGGCCAAACACTGCCGGTGGGCAGTTGTAACACTAGGCCAAAACGGATGCATTGCAAAACATGGAAATGAGGTAGTTAACACGTGGTTTTCCTATCTCTCTATGCCCCTTAATTGGGCCGGGCCGGTGCAATTGAGGATTAGTCTAAGTATGGTACGGGCTTAAATGTGTCTCTTACAGTTAGGGTACGGGCTTAAATGTGCCTCTTACAGTTAGGGCCTGCTCAAGACACCTCATGGTCTAACCCAAAAAAAAAAAAAATAGTTTTTACTGTTGGGCTGTCATGGATTGTATATTTGGAACTATGTTGTCATTTTAGGTTGTGCGGGTTCCAGCAATAGGAGAGTCAAAGGCGAGCGATGCTACTGGGGCGGGAGACTTGTTCGCGAGTGGATTTCTGTATGGGCTAATAAAGGATCTGTCTCTCGAAGATTGTTGTCGTGTGGGGTCGTGCAGTGGGGGGTCTGTCATTCGAGCTCTCGGAGGTGAGGTGACACCTGCAAACTGGCAATGGATGTACAAACAAATGCAGGCCAAGGGACTCTGCACCCCTCACCCCATCAATCATCAGAAGCTCTTTTGAAACAGGAGAATCATAGGACATTTCTATGTTTTTATTAAGATGTTTGCATACCTAGTTCTCTTCTCTTCCAATCCCCCTCTCCACCCTCTTCCCCTCAAAAGAAAGGATTAGGAAGAAGAAAATGAAAAACAATGAGGCTTTGTTTTTTCTGTGTTATCTTATGTTTGAACCTTTGTCAGGGATCAAGATTCAATACAACTGTTTTGGTTATGTTTGGATCAAATTAGATACAAACACATATGAATGTGAATACTTGTTAATCAAATTAAACAGACACATTAGACACAGATAGATATATATGTGAAAATTCGTTAACCAAACTAGACACAGACACATTAATGTGAATACTCGTTAACCAAATCAGACACAAACATATTATGTGACCGAGAGAGTAATTATAATGAAACTTGAGGATTATCATATAGATAATGAGTTAAACAGAACACTTTGCTAAAGTCTGGACCAATTAAACAAAAGATGGATTGCATAAGAAAACATTCAAATAACCAGGTGGTACCATCTAGGGTCCAAATCTCAACAAACTCCAATTGTGACAGCATAAAATCTCTTAAAATGAAAGGAGAATGACTAAAAGATAGAACATCATCATATATCCATTGGAGCGGCGCCTTCAGCAGTAGGGGCTCCCTCCTCCGGAGCAGCAGCACCTTCTTCGGGGGCTGCAGGGGCGTCATCAACAGCTAGCTCAAACTCGTTGATTAATGCATGTATAGCTTCTTTATCCAATATGTGGAATGCCTCTCCTACTCCTAGCACAGCAACTGTGCATACTGAGCTTGTCAGCTTTTCTCCCTGCAAGGTTTCCCTCAGTGCAAACAGTGCATCCTTGAGCAGACTTTCTCGTGAAGAATCCATGAAAGTCTCAAATCTGCGCTCCAAGTATGTTTTTGCAGCTTGTGATCGTGATCCAATGGCAAAAGCTTGGTACTCAAAGTAGTTACCGCTTGGGCAGTTATAATAGAGGTGAGCTCCAGACTCATCCAACCCTCCTACAAGCAGACCAACCCCATAAGGCCTTTTCCATGACCTTTGTGTGCAAACCTGTAAACAGAAGTGTTAGCAAAGTATAATAAAAAGTAACCACTGGTTCTTTTTCTATAGCCATAATAGAGAGCTGCATCAGGATCTCCAGTCATTTTTAGCCAACTAAATAAATACCATTTCATGCCTGTACACACTGGTTGTTTTTATATAGCCAGTCCCTTGTCAACATTTTCAGCAAGCCTTAGATAAAACCCCCTAAAGCTATTAATTGAGCTTGTATATTTAGTTACTTGGTAAAGAAAGAGAGAGGTGTTTATAAGAACAGAGGCTTCATACCACGTTGTGATGCACAACACAACAAATCAGAGAGGTCATGACAAGCCACAAAACTAAAAATGATGGAGATAGACTTTAACATAATAATATGATGATTTTATGTAAATCTCAAACAGAGTTAATTTTGTATTTGTTTCTGTTGTCTTTGAACTGCAAACTAGAGGTTCCCCTTATTCTTTATATTTTATAATTAACATCAAATGCTGCTTCAGAAGTAAAAAGTTCTGACGATTAAAAAAAAAAACCTTTGAAGATAACAATTAGTTAGAAGTATCTCCACGCATCCAAATCTCCAAACAAAAACACTAATAGATGATTAGTTGACAGAAAATGGCAAGAAACACACCAAGCAAGTGGGTTTGTGAGGGATCCTTTGAGACAATAAGAACCTAAACATTGTCAATCAAATATGTAGTTGAATTTAAAAGACTTGACAAGTAGTGATCAAAACACAAACTGTAGTTCCTAAACCATACAATTGCCTAATTTAGGAGGTTATATGTTTACCATCATAATAGTTGGGCAACAAGTAGTTCCAAGATTCACCTACTTTTATTTCCCTTAACATTCTCTTCAGAAACCAAGGAATGTGAACAAAATACACTTATTGCTAACTTTATCTCTTTAATAGCTAATACATATGATGAACCAACTAGCAGACAAACAATTGTCTCAGAAAGTCACAAACACATTAGTGGAAATGAACATAAAGCAATTTGCTTGTCTGATATACCAAGGTTTCCTAGCAAGCAAGTAAAGTTTTGATAGCAGAACTATTATTCCCAAAAAAAAAATTAAAAATATATTTATTTTTCTTATCTTCCTAAGAATTACAGTAACATTTAACAACCAGAAATCAAGAATATAAACAAATGGAACCTAGAGATTCAAATTCAGCAAATTCTCTTAAAATATGAAAGGAAAGAAATGAGCTGGAGTATCCAATTGAAGCTCATTTGGAAAAAGATTCGATCAGGTGATACTCAACTTTCAAACTCATGCAATCAAAAGCTCAACTGAAGAGAAAATTAAGCAAAAATTAGGGTTTTCGTGGTAGACCTGCGCTTTATCGGCAAGCTGAACAACGAGGCGGCCAACGGGGAGCGGAGACTCGTAAGAGTAACTATAATTAATACACTCGTTGCGCATATACCGGGAGAGAACGCGGCCATCGGCGGTGAGGCCAGCGATGGCGACGCCAATGTGATCGTCGACCTTGAAGATCTTCTTCTGGTGAGAGGAGAGCTCGGAATTGGCTTTGTTGACGCACGCGAGGACCACGTGAGTCTTCGATCTCAGACCTATCGCCGCCGACCCCTGCTTCACTGCCTCCATTGCGTACTCCACCTGGAACAGCCTCCCCGCCGGCGACCATGTCGTCACGTCCGTGTCGTACTGGTTCCTAAACATTTTGCAAACTCTCTGCGATCGATAATCTCGCCCTGCTTCGTTCCAACTGAGTCGCACTCGTTACCGAGTCTCTGACTCGCTTCTGCCCTTCGTATAAATAGCTTTGATTTTCGTTTCTTTTTCTTCAAGACAGGAAATTGGAATGAAAGCAATCTAATAAGGGTTTTTGCTGTTTTTTTTTTTTTTTTTTTTTTTTTTTTTTTTTTAATTTCAATTTTCATAGTTTTGGGCTGGGCCTATTCGCGGGCTGAGGTGACTCAATGGGCCTTATATGATGCAAAAATACTTGGATCAAAACTAAACATGTTTGGGCCTTTAATCAATATATCAATTTTTTTTGGGTTTAAAAAAGAGTTAATACCCAAAATAATCCTTCGACTATGTCGTAATTACCAATTTAGTCCTCGACTATCATTCTTACCCAATTAAGTCCTCAATTATATAAATTTTACCCAATTTAGTCTTTTGTCAATTTGACTGTTTGTTGACTGTCAAAAGTGGAAATAAAGTTGTAATTTTACAAGTTTTCTCCTTCCTCCTCATTTAGTAGCGCCAAACCATGTAGCAATAAGCTCCGATTGGGTTCTAAACATGTCAGTATCGAAGTAGTGGTTATGCATCGGATAGCCCATGAATTTGATTTCCAACGATTTTTTGACGATCGAAATTTGATCGGAGTGTATTGTTGCATGGTTTGGCGCTGCTAAATGGAGAGGAAGGAGAAATCTTGTAAAATTATAATTTTATCCCGACTTTTGATAGTCAACAAACAGTGAAATTAATACAGAGGACTAAATTGGGTAAGAATTATATAGTTGAGGACTAAATTGGGTAAGAATTGTATAGTTGAGGACTTAATTGAGTAAAAGTTACATAGTTGAGGACTTAATTAGGTAAGAATGGTAGTTGAGGACCAAATTGGTAATTATGGCATAGTCGATGGACCATTTTGGGTATTAACTCTTTAAAAAAAAAACTTTTCACTAATAAGGGGTCGTTTGGTTCACGAAATGTCAAATTACCTTAGAGAATGTTAGATTGCTGGGAATGTTAGATTACTGGGAATGTTAGATTCCTGTGTTTGGTTAAAATTGGGGTATGTAATATAATCATGTTTAGTTTAAGGTTACCTTTTATTCACACACTATAATATCCTTAACATATCTTCATATATTTTAATAAATTTAAAAGTTAAAATAAATAAATAAGATAACGGTATCATATATAATTACATGATTTTAAAATATTAACTAAAATCTTGAACTTGAGAAACAAAATTATTTTATATGCTAACCTAACATAATAAAAATAAAAAATATATAATTACAAAAATAATTATGTGTGTGTGTGAGTGGTAAACTAACATAACCAAGGTTATCTTACATAACCTTAGAAATTGAAGGGAATCACATTCCCTCCAAAATCCTATGTGGAGGGAATGTGACATTCCTTGGGAAAGTTAGATTCCCTGAGATAATATGAACCAAACATGGGAATGTGAGCTTTGGAATGTTAGATTCCCTTGGTTATGTTATATAACCTGAACCAAACGCCCCCTAAGAGTATCCACACAATTGTGGATTGGCAAATTATGTTGTGGAATAGTGTCCACCTTGCAAGGTGGACACGGTTCCAAAAACTGTTAATAATTATGAATATAAAGTTAAACAAATATGAACATAGAGTTGTGAACATATAATTCTGTAATTATGAATATAGAGATTCAATAATTGTGAATATAAAGTTCAAAAATTATGAATATACAACTTTATAATTATGAATATATAGTTCAGTAATTATGAACATAGAGTTCTGTAATTGTAAATATAGAATTCAATAATTATGAATATGAAGTTCAAAAATTATGAATATATAACTTTATAATTATAAACATATAGTTCAGTAATTATGAACATGTTTATTATTTGGAGTCACAAAACATGTTTCATATAAAATGCATATTCATATAATTAATAATTTCTCCTCTTTGTAAATCAAGAATGTGCTAAGAATGTTAGTGTGGGCGTTGTCTTTTTTAGAAGTATTGAACTATAGATAGTTTCTTAGATGTTGACATTATGTCTGGACCATACTTCCATAAACACAACCATTGTTTGGCCATGTTATACCACGTGCTTTTGACAATGTTCAAATGTTAAAAGAGAGAGATGAAGAAGAAAGAGAATACTACAACTTTCGTTAAATACAAATAAAACATAGAACAAGTAGAGTTTTCTTACTTTTTTTTTTTTTCATTTTATAATTTTTTTTGGTACATCAATAGTCAAAGATTAAATCCATGACCTTAACAACAAACTTTCGACTAATATGGCTAAAGTGTAAATTGATGACTTTTCATATTTATATAATTTCAAACTAATTTTTCGTCCACAACTTGTGTAAACCTAATAACATCACCAAATAAATAACTATTTTGTTGTGATAAAACAATTTTTTCTTTCACAATAAGACCTAGACAATTATCCCTACTTTCGGTAGCTTACGAGTTTACGTCCATCTCTGGTCGGGTATATTTTCCTTTTGATTTCTCCCTTGTAGTCGTTACCCAAATTCACGCAAGTGTCTTCACATACCCTCCCCCCCTCCCCTCCAAACTTACTTTACGAGAATTCTTTTCTTGCGAACAAACACAACCCCTACAGACACTAAGAGCACCCCTTCCTAAATATCCATACAAAACCCAAGTAAGCCCGCATGTCAGAGGTCCTACGAGGTATCCACTATTCGGAGTACCATCTCAAAATGAAAAAGATGTGTCTGTTAGGTTCAGTTCTTATTAGTTGGATTTGACGAACATATTTTCAGTTAAACCGAACAACAAAATACATATGAGCATCACATTATATATTAAGGGATAACTCCAATTGTAATCCCTCGATTATTGTACTTTTATTGTAAATTATCTAAATAGTCTATTGACTACCGTGATTTCACCGCTTTGATCATCACATTTTAAATCTAGTCCGATGATGTTTTCAACTATCAAAATTGTACATATTTTTGACCATTTGAAGATATTATTTCGCCTAAATTTTTACCAATTTTAATTCTCATAATTCATATTATCAAAGTGAGGGGACAAGATTGACTTGAAATATACTAGCCCGTTCCGCCCTCGTTAGGGCTCGTAGGTCATGACATGGCAACACAGTTCCCTTTTTTTGGTGATAATTTAAATATTCATCTCATCTCCAATTTATTAGGTGATATGGCCAGTAAATCATATAAAAACATGAGATCTGTTACTAAATTTGAATGTAAACAGCCACTCACAATATTTGTACTCATCTTCAATCTTTTTATCTCTAAGAGCATGTTTGATTGGATGAAAAAAAAAATTCTTAAATTTAAAGAAAATGAAATTTTTTTATAGGGTTAGTTCATGGAAAACTTTTTCCACAAGAAAATGTTTTTCTCCTTATTTACTTTTGAAGAAAAAGTTTTCGAAGGGAGGGGTGGTATTTTATTTTCCATTGAAGTTGGAAAAAAAGTATCACACTATTACATGATTGAACAATTTTGCCCTTATTACTTTTATTATCATTATCATTGTGTATTTGTGTATAGACATATTAGTCTTTATACTCATTTCAACCCCAACCAAATAACGAAGCAATATTTCCAGTAATTTCATTTCCTCAAACCAAACAATGAAATCAATCTTTCTTGTAATTTCTTTTATATAAAATTTCAATTCTATTTTTCTTTAAATATTTTCTGCAAACCAAATGGGGCAATTTGAATCTCCATCTCATCCTTAATTTATTAGGTGATGGTGCGAATAAATCATATAGAAACATGAGATCTATCACTAAATTTGAACATAAATAGTCCACTCACAATACTTGCACTCATCTTGGATCTTTTTATCTTTAAGAGTGAGATGTGATTGGTGAGTAAGAATTGAGATAATGTGAAAGAAGTGGACATGCATAATCCAGATCTAATGACAAGATAAAGGAAAAGTGAAAGTGGTTATGAGAATCCACTTTAGCTCCCTTAAACACTCTATAAATTCTTTTAGTTCATCATCACTTTATCTTTTCACAAGATTCTATTCAAAGATTGTTTCTTTAATCATTCCTCACTCACATAAATCTTTTACTTATTGTAAATTTTTCTTTTTTATTAGTAATAATTTAAATAAGTGTACCCTGCATGGGGTCTACACTTGGGCTGAGGGATCTCCCACCAATACTTTACCACTTTGAATCAATTTTTGTATTATTTAATTTATCTTTATTATATGATCTATTTGTAATAGAATTATATTAGACAATATAATTTACAATAATAGATGCATATGAAGAATAATGCTATTTACTTTTTAACATATATGCCTTGTGGTCCAATGGCACCAAGTTGCTCTCTCATATGAGAGGTGGTCCAATGGACCCAAGTTGCTCTCTCATATGAGAGGTTGTGGGATCAAGTAATGTAAATCAATGGCTCAACAGATAGGACAAAATGCCGGTGCACACAACAAATTTGTCCATTTTGAGCATAATTCCCACACTGTCACTAATGTTCGAATTTTGGTATCTTCTCTCAAATATTGCTTACTGAACCAGTGAGCTAAGCCCGTGTGGGTTACTAATACAACATACAATACCCATTTTGGGCATAATTCCCACACTGTCACTGCCGATGTTCGAAACCTTGGTATCTTCATCCAAATATTGCTTACTGAACCAATGAGTTAAGCCCGTGCGGGCTACGGGATATGAATACTAATACAACATACAATATGTGTGAGATATTTGTACATATGCTCACAATATTATATTTAATTGGACAATTTAGTTTCTCATTGGTTTTGGATGACAAAATAAACTTACAATCACAATTCGATGGTGTGCATTGAGTAAACTCTACTTTTGTTTAATAGTCAATAAATCATACATAAAAAGTAAACTACACTAATAAAACTTTATGCAATAGGTTTGATTAAGAGAGTGTCGGAGTTTGATATTTGCTTTTGATTTGAATCTTGGTTGATGTATAGTTATAGTTACTAAAGATATGGATAGATAGATTGGTAGGATGAGATATATGGTCCATATATGAGAGATATCTTTTGGTATATTAATATGCCAATAATGTCATAGGAAAAGACACACCCCACCCTTTCATAAAGACAACAACTTTCAACCCTGGATTCCACTTCTTCATTTCTTCTTTCCTTTATTGTGTTATACCTAACTACTTCAACTTGAATGTGCCATTCTCCTATCCCACAATATCACATAACAACAAGAGATATTTATATCAACAACTACATATGCAAATATCTACCTCCTAGACAAAAACGTTGGCTCATGAGGGGTTTGAAATTTGAATCGTTTTTATTTTCAAATGGGATTTGACTAAAACTCGACCAGATTAGTTTCATTATGCGAGACACAAATATCAGTGTAACATTATTTTTAAAAAATCCCCTTCCAAAAAGAATCATAATTTAAATAAAGAAAAACAAAATATTGTTCCAATTACTTTTCATCTCCGAATAATTGTTATCGTTTTTATCAAATAGTAAAAAATAACCATCAAGATGCCAAGTAATTGAAATAATGCGCTAATAAATCCGAACCATAAACTTAATTGTCTTTCACCATTCATTCTTCCAAAAGGTTGAACCCCAACCCTAAGGGCTCCCCATACTCCGATCCGACAGAGCATTTGGGGATGTAAATTATGGTAACTCAATTGAACATGAACCACATAGGTTAGACATTTGCTCACTGCACACAAAGAACCCCTCATTTTGAGAGATAGCTCCCACACTGTCGTTGGCGAGACTCGATCCCTGGTCTTGAACCGGACACTCTGCAGGTAAAATAAAATCTTTTAATTTATTTTAATTTAATTGACCTGTTAAATTATGTCAGGTAAATTATACGGAGTAAGAAATTAAATATTACCAAATAAATAGTCTGAATTTTTGTCTCTCGTAATTGGACAGATTTCTCGAGCTGTCGCATATGAAATTCTCAACAACATGTGGGAGTGGGCCCAGACACTTGGTATGATTTTGGTGTTTGAATGTGCAATAATAAATCCCACTTTCTAGTCAATTATAATGACATGCAATCTCCTTGATTTAAACATTTTTGCATATATGTCCAATGCTTAGATTACTTTGTTCTAAATTTTTATACTACATGTTAGATTGTATATAATTTTATATTAACTTGTTCTATTTATTTTTATGATGTAAGAACTGTTGGAAAAATAGCATTAAAATGGCATAAAATGACATGTTAAGTAGCTATTTTGTGGTACAATTATCAGTGGGGTCCACTTCCAATTTGGATCGGGTGAAAGTGGATTCGGATTCTTTGTAGTGAGACGAAGAGATTGATATATTGTACGCTCAAAACGGATAATGGGTGAATGAGATATTGATTCTCAAAGTAGACCCATTGAGTTGGAAAATGTAAGGGAAAAGTGAGTTTTGTCCCACATTGATTTGGAAAGAGGATTTCACCCCCTTTTATACAAGAGCTTTTTTAGAGCTTGTAGAATTGTATAGCATAGAGGCTCTCTCGCGCGGGGGGGGGGGGGGGGGTGCAAATCAAATTCCAACTAGAGATGACTTCGGAGAGGTGTGTGCCGGCACGAATGTTGGCCGAGTAGTGCTGACAGTGGAGATTTAATTCATTTTGAATTAAACCTGCACTAATGACCAGCTGTTTCAGATTTAATTCATCCGTTACACTGTATTAATTCATTTTGAATTAAACCTGCACTAATGACCAGCTGTTTCAGATGTTACCAACGTGCTGCACTAATGACCAGCTGTTTCAGATGTTACCAACGTGCCATGAATGCCTCACTAATGACCAGCTGTTTCAGATGTTACCAACGTGCCATGAATGCCTACTAAATGCTATTTAGTACTCCAATTCCTATATAAGAAGAGGTAGGTAGTAGGAGCAAGTGATTTACAACAAGTGTGGGAAGAACACGAGAGTACACAACACACAAAGATAAGCAATTTTCCTTCTCAAAACCTCTGCTCCTACTCTTTTTCTTGCTACTGTGTTTTGCCCGTGCTCTAGTTCGCCGGGTTCGTTCGTTTGGGTGCTCAAACGTCGAACCGTTGTACGTTTTATCCTGGGAAACCTAGGCCACAACGCTCCTAGCACTTTTGGGAGGTGGCAAATAAGGTTTTAAGGAAAGACAAACACTCTGCCTAACTCGTACATTTATTTCTTTCTTCTTCTTTCTTGTTTTAGGATTATGCTCTAAGCAAAAATCCGTTCTTTCTTGTTGATTTGGAGTTATAATCTGAGGATTATAAGTTCCTTTTGGTTGATATATATTGTTATATCTTTCTCGTAGATATATACGTATATATAACCTTTGGATCCGTTTTATATATATTTGTGTGTATATATATATTTCGGATATATATATCCAATAATATTTTATATATATTTCGTGTGTGTATATATATAAATATTATTTTAAGGGATATTAAATCGATTATGGTTCATTATCACCAACAAGAACACAATATAATATCTTTTTACAAACTCAAAGTCTCACGTTCAAGTTATTGACTATAGTTGTAGGGTTAAATAGACCATTGAACTACACATGAAATTGCAATTGGACCATCGAACTCAAAAAAATTACAATTGGGTCCCTAAATAACGTAAAATCATGCAATTAAACTAAAAATGACATGTTTACCTGTTGATGGCTGACATGGCGATTAGCGGATTAAAAAATAAAATTTTAAAATTTTATTTTTAAATTAATATAAAAAAACCGTTGGACCTCTTCGTCTCCGAGCTGCCTGGAGACGTAAAATAAAAAAAAAAAATTGTCAATCCTCTTCATCCGCGACAACTTGGAGACAAAGAGGTCTCTTCATCTCCGAGCTTTCGGAGACGACGAGACCTCTGTCTCCTTCGTCTTCGTTTCCTGGGCGACCGGAGACGAAGAGATGGTATCTTCATCTCCGGCGGCCCCGAAAATGAAGAAGAAGAGTCCCTTCCTCTCCAGGCAGCCCGAAAACAAAGACGAAGGTCTCGTCATCTGCGGGCTGACGAAGGTTTCTTTTTTTAAAAAAAAATTATTGAAATAAAATTAAAAAAAAATATATATATATATTTTTAATTCGCTAACCGTCATGTCACCATCAACAATAAACATGTCGTTTTTAGTTTAGTTACATAATTTTATGTTATTTATGGATCTAATTATAATTTTTTTTTGAATTAGATAACTTAATTGTAATTTTGTTTGTAGTTCAATGGTTTATTTGACCGATATTCCAAATAAAAATAAATAGTGAGAAAGAAAATAATTGGGAAATGAGTAAGAGGTGAGTTGGAGGGAGTGTAAACTCGCAATTTTCCAGCCCTGCAAACGCATTTTCTTTCTCATTTTTTTCTCAAGTGTTTTGTTGTCTTCATCTTTTCCTTTCTCTCTCTCTCTCTATCTCTATCTCTCTCAGTCACTGTCTACAGGAAATTTTTTTGTGTGCAGACAAACAACACAACCGAAGTGAGCAGAGAAGAAATTTCCCCAAAAAAAAAAATAAAATTTTGGTTGGGGAATCAAACCCTAGCTAGAGCCTCACAGCGCTCTGCAATGGAGTCTTTGTCAAGGCCATCGCAGAGGCGGAAGCTGCCCAGCGCCACCAATGGCGTGTCTTTCTCTGCTAAAAACGCGTACGACGACGTTTTCTCGGGCCAGCCGAACAAGCGCGGAGCTGCGCCGAGCAGGGCGGTGTGGGACTACGCTGAGATTTTCGGAGCCTCCCGCGGGTCGTCCATTCCTGTTCTTGATCTTTCGGTTCTCGAGGACCGGGCGGGCGGGTCGGGGGAGGATTTTCGGAGCTCCAAGCTGGATTATTCCATGATCTTCGGTGGGTTTGATGATGAGGATATAGCTTTGCCGTATGAGGACGTGGTTAGCAAAAGAGGGAAACAACGGTCTTCTAGTAAAGCTCGGTGAGTTCATCTTCCGTGATGATTTTTTTTTTTTTTTGAACTTTTATTTCCAATTACGTTTGTAAGGAGAACAAAAGTTACTAATTTAGCACTGATTTATGTGACATTTTGGGGGATCATGTTTTTAAGGAATTATTTTGTGATGATATTTTCTGCAGTGGCAGTTCAACGTACAATGCCTTCTTTGATGGGTGAGAAGTGTTAAAAAAAGATATATGGAGTATATGTTTTTTGGATTCATATGGCTGCCTTGAAGATTTTTCAAAAGATTTTGCTTTTTATAGTCTTATTACTCTCTGTACCAGTCTTGGCTTGAAGGAAAATTTTGTGTTCCTTTTACTGGTAATAATATCAGGTGCTTGATATAAAAAAGCAGTGACTTTAAGGACAGCTCTAAGCCTCTAAAGTGTTGATTTTTAGTTAACTTTGGACCATTAAGTGTATGAAGGATGAAACTTGAAATGCTTTAATCCTTGAGTTGTAATGAAGATGAGCTGTTGGGTATTTCATATTTCATATGTGAAGTAGTGGGGTTTCATTCAAGCATTTCTTTTGGTATGAGGTTAATTTACTTGAACTTGAAGTTGGATTTGGATATTTGTCTCTGGGGAAATGGTTGTGGGCTGTGATGATTGTGTAATTTGTCAAAACTTATTCGCCTCTTGTGATTTGCCACGTGTCATGACTGAAGGTATTTTAGTACTTTTTTATTGATAGTATCTGACAAAGTTCTGGATTATCGTACACGTTCTTCACACGTGTAATTCTTCTCAAGTATAAGCGTTTGTTTATCGTGTGGAAGTTTTATGTATGTGTTCTTTACACGTAAGAATGTAAGGTTCTTCTCAAGTATATGTGTTCTTTACACGTAAGAATGTAAGATTCTTATCAAGTATAAGTGTTCTTTACACATAAGATTCTTCTCAAGTATAAGCGTTTGTTTATTGTGTGGAACTTTTACATATGTGTTCTTTCACATGTGATTCTTCTCAATACAAGTGTTTGTTTATTGTATGGAAGTTTTACGTATGTGTTCTTTCCACATGTGATTCTTCTCAAGAATAAGTGTTTGTTTATTGCATGGGGAAGTTTTACGTATGTGTTCTTTACACATGTGATTCTTCACAAATCACAAGTATAAGTGTTATTTATTGCGTGGAAGTTTTACATATGTGTTCTTCACACGTGGCATTCTTCTCAAGTGTTTGTTTATTGCGTGGAAGTTTTATGTGCATTTATGATCCGTAAATGCAGTTTCCTTTTTTCCTAGTTAATATAGTTTCCTCTTTCAAAATCTTTATGTTCATTCATTCAGAGCTGTATGACATTAAATTGTGTTTAAAACTTGTGCTAGCAACAAATTGGTTGCTAACCTTCTATAGTTTTTAACTGTTCGTGTTTGAAATTATTATGATTATATGTAAAACGATGAGTGGGAGGGATATAATGAATTTTCTGACTTCTTGCAATAATAATAATTTGCCAAAGACCTTGTGGTCAAGCGGCATGACTTGACTCTCCCAAGTGGGAGGTCATGGGTTCGAGCCTCAGTGGAGGCGGTATTGACTCGTTGGGCTTCAATAGGTTGAGAAAGTATATATGAACAGATACTACATGTAACAGGGTCAATAGTACTCCAAAAAAAAAAATCATTTTGCAATATTAAAGATTCTCGGGCTAATTGAATTTGTAGGGTTGTATGATATCATTGTAGATGTATAAATATATTTTCCAATGTTCTTTTAACTTTCTGTTGAGGTTCGTTGTTGATAATGTCTCTTGTTAGCACATCTTCCTTTACAAACCTGCCCCTAATTCAAAATTAGTTACGATATTTACATTTATTATGTATTGGTGTTTTTTGTAGGACTCGTTCCCAAGGATCGGATCACTCTACATCTTCTGAAACGAATAAAGTCTTCTCATGTGATCCTTCTGATCAATCTTTCGATGGGAAAAAGCACTTTAACATGTCATATCATAAGACCAGTCAAGGAACCGATGATGGGTCAAATGGGATGACACACATCGCTGAACTCCATGCTGTTCCGGGATTTACCTATTTTATCGATGAAGCTACTCAACTAAAGACCGCTGGTAGTGGGCCCCCGCCATATGTAAAAAGTGAAGCCTATCGCAAGAGGAGCTTAAGTGGGGAAATAAATAAAAGATCTGCACGGGAAAGGGATCTCCGCTTCAGTGGAGAAATAAATAAAAGACCTGAAAGGCAGGCGGATCTCCGCTTTAGTGGCGAAATAAATAAGAGACCCGGAAGGGAGACCGATCTCCGCTTCAGTGGGGAAATAAATAAAAGACCTGGAAGGGAGATAGATCGCCATGTCTCACCAAAGCAAAGTTCAGGAGATGGGGAACCGAAACAAAGTTCAGAAGACGCAGTCAGAGATAGGGACAGATCGAGTTGGGATAAATTCCATTTCAGTGGTAATATATCTAATGCACATGAACCTATTCCGGAATCAGATCTATCTAAGGGAACAAAACCTTCAAGTTCAAGGGTTAATGACTTCGGCCTTCCTAAACAATCAAAATCTTCAAACGTTGCTTCTAAAGCTGATGGATTTCAGAGAGCTGCTGCTGATTCCTCGTTACATTCTTCCGATGAGGAACTTGATGTAAATTCAGATGCAGCTGTTTCTGCAGCAGCTCTGAAGAAGGCTATACAGAACGCTCAAGAGAGTATAAGGCTGGCGAAAGAGCTAATGGAAAGACAGAAGGAAGGCATTCCATCCCGTCAGAAGCGAAGTTCTAAAGGCAGCTCGAAAGTTGGAGATAAAGAACATAGAAAGGGGCACAACTCAGACAGTACAAAACCCAAAAATACGATATCTAATAAGCATGCATTGGAGGAGGGAGCTGCCTTCAGGAATGGTGCTATTGCTTCACACTTCAAACAAAGTGGGGAAATTTCTACCGATGGGGACTTCAAACCTGAATGCCACAAGGAACACATTGTAGCACCTGAGAGTGACGCTGCAGAAAAATGGATTTTTGAAATGTTAAATGGTGTAAAACATGAAACAGCCACAGTTACGTCTCTGCGTGTAGAAGAAAAGAATAATCCTGTAGCTCCTTCAGTAGTTATGTCTCAGCGTGTAGAAGAGAAGAATAATCCTGTAGCTCCTTCACTAAGGCAGGCATCGGAGATTGAGGATGTGAAGAGAATTGATGAGATCGGAGATCTAGGAGAAGGAACTACCAAAGGCATAGAACTTACCGAAAAGAGTCAGAATAATCCTGTAGCTCCTTCACTAGTTATGTCTCAGCCTGTAGAGGAAAAGAATAATCCTGTAGCTCCTTTACCAAGGCAGGCATCTGAGATTGAGGATGTGATGAGAATTGACGAGGTCATAGATCTAGGAGAAGGAACTACCAAAGGCATAAGACCGGCTGAAAAGACTCCTGATCTGGTGGTCTCAGAGACAAAGATAAATGATCTTGGAAGAGCTGAAAAGCTGGAAGAAACTGTGTCTAACTTGGATTCGGCTTGGATTGTGCCTGAACCAGGAAAAAGTGAGAATTTGAGTGTCATTAATAAACTTGAAATCAGTAAGAAGACTGACAATAATTTTGATGATTTGGGGAATCTCGAGAAAATTCATAAACCGCACAGAAAAGAAAACTTTGAGTTCCAAGAACTGGAGAACAATACTCTATTTAATGAATCAGACAAGCCATTGAAAAATGAGAAGGAAAAGCAGGAGTATTTTGAATGTGGTGAACTGCCTAAGGTAGTAGAAGATGTTCATCATTCTAAACAAATAAACAAGAGGGTACGGAAAACTTGGGATAAAAAAGAAATTGAGCTTGACCATAGAAGAAACGTTCTATGGGTTGAAAATGAAGATAAGTCACAAGTAGGCTTCATTGAAGAAAGCTGTGAGAGCAGCCACCAAGTTTCCCAAGAGGGAGTAGAAAATGATGAGAGATTAAATGGAGTTTGCAAGACTGAAATTCATGAATGCAGAGAAAAACAGAGACTAGAAGAAGAGCATGTAAGACTACTGAAGAGAACTGAAGAGGGTTACAAATATGAGACACCAGATGGGATTCACAAGCCTGAAACTCATGAACTGGAAGACTCTGAGAAGAAACTGGATGAAGAACATGTCAGAGTAGAGGAGAGTGCTCAAGAGGTTTGTAGCAATGAGGCAGTTAATTGTAATGTGAGAGAGACTGATGAAGGAACAGAAAATCAACACATTGAAGAAACGCAAGGGGATGAAGGAATTGAGAATGTGGAAAGAGCATCTGATACAGACGAACGATATCAGAAGATAAATGTAACTCGATACAGGGAGGAAGAAACCAGGCATATGCAAAGTGAAGCTGATAAAAGTGAAAAATATCAGGGGATAGATGTTGCTTTGGAGGCTGCTAATGAGCAAGGGGCTGAAGAAATTCAGAGCAAGGAAAGAGCAACTGATGAAGATGAAGAATATCAGGAGAGGAATGTACCTCTCAATAGGGCTGAAGAAACTGCATGTACTCAAAGTGGAGCTCATAAGAGTGAAAAATATCAGGGGATAGATGTTACCCTGGAGACTGCTGATGAGCAGAAGCCTTACCCAACTTCTAGTGCATGCAATGGCTATTCAAGTTATTTGTTTAATGAGATTCGAGAAGATTGCACATCCCAGGTAAAAGAAAGCAGTGTGGAAACAAATGAACAGGCTTCTTCCTATAATGAAAATGAGGGACTGCAGGGGCGTGCCGATACTTTCTGCAAGCTTGAAGAGGATAACATGGATGATTTGAAAGAAAATAAAGAGCCATGCAATTTGAGGGAGAAAAAGGCATCTGACACTACTGGTGATCTTCAAAGTGCTCTTGAAAGGGATATACATCTGAATGGAAGGCAAGGTACTGATGAGGACCACTTTTGTGATGCCTCTAAAGCTAACCTTGGTTTTTCTTGCAAGAAAAATGGACAAGAAATTCAAAACGAGAGGCAGGATTCTGAAACAGATGGCTTGACTCACAATGCAATGCAAAATGAAAGGGAGGATATTGAAAAAGATAGTGCAACCAACATCTCCAATGAGAATGTCTGTGGGTTCAAAACAGATGATGTACCCGAGATCCAAACTTCTGAAGAAATCGCAAAATCTGCTTTTAGTGGCGTAAACCTTGGGGAGAAAATAATTGCTGAGAATGGTAAAGAATCAGAGCTAACCTCCAATGCTGTCAATGGTGAGAACTTGAGAGTAGAGAAATCTGCACAGGACAAGGAAACCATCAAGGAGAATGTAGTCTTCTTTGATAATGAAACAGATAAAGATGATGTTCAAACAATTCATAAAGAAAGTAGCACTGCTGAAAATAAAAAGGAACAGGAACCTTCTCAGTTTCCCTCGAACAAAAGTGAGGAATCTAGAGTTGGTGATAAAGAAATTAAAACAGAAGAAAGTAAGGAAACAAGCAATTCCAAGAAAGTCTTTGTCGCTGAAGAGAATGAAATTAAAAAATCTGGGCAAAAAGCAGTAGGAGATAAAGATCAATGTAGAAAAGTTGAAGTAGGCAAGAAAGAAAGAGAACGTGACCGAGATAGAATAGCTGTTGAAAGAGTCATCCGTGAAGCTCGTGAGAGAGCATTTGCTGATGCCCGAGAAAGGGCTGAAAGGGCTGCGGTTGAAAGGGCTACAGCAGAAGTTCGACAAAGAGTAATGGCTGAGGCAAGGGAAAAGGCTGACAAATCTTCTGTAGGTAACAAAACATCAGTTGACAAAGCTTCTGCTGAAGCAAAGCTTAGAGCTGAACGTGCTGCTGTAGAGAGAGCAACTGCTGAAGCACGTGAGCGTGCTTTGGAAAAGGCTTTGTCACAGAAGACCACTGCTGAAGTAAAAGTGCTGGCAGGAAAACTTGGTAACGAAAAGTATTCTGGTACTTCTCGAGAGAATGCATTAAGGCATTCTTTTTCCTCTTCTGTGAGTATCTCTTTCATTTCTCCATTGTTTACTACTTTAGCAAGCATACAGCACCATAGGATAATGATTACTTCATGCAGGACTTGGAGAGATTTGATGAAACCACTGAATCAGCTCAGAGGCGTAAAGCAAGGTTGGAAAGGCACCAAAGGATTATGGAACGAGCGGTATGTCCATCTCATCATATGTTTGTGATAATCACTTTGTGGTCTCATCTGATCTTTTGTTTCCTCTACACTGGTATTTTCAGGCGAAAGCTCTAGCAGAGAAGAATATGCGTGATCTTCTAGCTCAGAAAGAGCAAGCAGAGAGAAATGTAATTCTTCCTTATATCATTTGTGCCCTTGTAAAGTTTATTATTTTTGCACAGCAGTGTTTCACATTCATTTAATTGCAGAGACTAGCAGAAGTTCTGGATGCTGATATCAAGAGATGGGCTAGTGGGAAGGAAGGGAACCTGCGGGCACTTCTTTCTACCCTGCAATATGTATGTATTATCCCTTAACTGCATGTTACATCTTCGGTTTTCTCTGTGCTTGCTCACATATTTAGTGGTCTAACACACAATTGGGTCTCAAGCAAATTTCACCCCCACTCCTATCCTTGCATCATTTGTTTTCCTTCACACTTAGCCAGTTTTTCACTAAAAGCAAACAAATAGGTATTCATGCTGTGTGGTATTGTCAGATAGGAACTGCAAGCTCTAGATGTGAAACCAGAATTAGTCAGAATCACCATGTTGTATACTCTGTTAAAAAGAGTCCATGTGGCCCAGTTTTAATCTTTAAGCAGCTTTATAAACTCCCGTAAATGAAAATAGACTGTTGTCAATTAAACTAAATCTGTGCTTGTGTTTGGACCAACTTTTTTGCTCACGCAGATCCTTGGACCAGATAGTGGTTGGCATCCAATCTCTCTGACTGAGATTATAACCACAGCTGCAGTGAAGAAAGGTTATAGGAAAGCTACTCTTTATGTTCATCCTGACAAACTGCAGCAAAGGGGGGCAAGTATTCAGCAAAAGTACATATGTGAGAAGGTTTTCGATCTGCTCAAGGTGTGTGTAGTTGAATACTTCGTTGTGTCATAATGCATGGTGCAGTTACTTCCATTTCGTGATCTGAATCACTAGAAATATATGGATTTCATGTGTTGTCTTTTGCTGTGAAAATGCAGGCTGCATGGAACAAATTCAACTCAGAAGAGAGGTAAGGACTGAAGATGGCAGTTCCAAGCAGGCCATCTTATGCATACTCTATGTGCAGTTCTTTTCAGAAGGGGAATGAAATAGAGGGTCCAAGGCATTGCCTGTAATTTTGTCCTGTATTTACATTGGACTAGCTTAGAGATTATAATTTAACTATTAGAAGCATGTAGCCATGCCAGAAATCTGAGTTTCATGGGCTCATTTGAAAAGATGAGATGATTATTTCAACTGAGTCAAACCCATGTAGATGTGTAAATTTGATATGATTGAAGGGCTTAGGGAGAAGAGACAGTTATCATGTCAAGTTCTACCCATTCCCCTCTCTTGCATTCTTGAACCAAATGTAGGATCAACTAAAATGAATTTGATCCTTAGAGATATGAAAAACACTTCAAGAAGAAAACTTACCAGTCCTTCCAAGGGAAAATTCTGTACAGCATTTGTTGTGACAAAATTCCCTATTTCTTGCTGAAATTGAGTTGTCATTAGCCCAATATACACAAATATGAACCCAGTGGATGAACAGTTGCACCTGAAACTCTCATCCAGTAGCAGGGTGGAGTTTGAACTTCACTGACACCATTTTATCTGAAAGTTAATTACTGAAATGGTCTCTTGACTATAACGAAATTGCCAATTTGGTCCTGAGTTAACGGATGTCTAACGGTTAGGACCATTTCAGGTATTTAAAAAAAAAGAAGACATAGTCTGGAACTAAATTGAGAAATTTTGAAAGTCGAGAACCAGATTGGTGAAATCCTCATAATCGAGAGATCAAATCGGTAATTAACTTATCCTTGTTAGGATTCATTGCCCCAATCTAATTTATCAAGTTTAGTGTTGTGTGTTTCGCTAAGTGAGATTTAGCTAATAAAGTAAGATTAATGAAGATAAAGTCCATGAAAACAGCTTAGGATAAGGGAATAAAGTAAAGTGATGTTGAGGATGGTAGTATCTCTGTTAGACTAATGAAGATAAATGCCATGAAAATCGCTTAAAATAAGGGAATAAAGTAAAGCAGTTCAATCTCATTATGATTTTTCCTTTCAAAATAATGGAATTTTTGTACATAAAAAGAAAAGATATGAAACTCTCTTTCACATGTCTTAGTCTGCTAGAAACAAAAGAGAGAGAATGGAATAGAAGGAAGAAAGTCTCCTTATAATGAGCAAAAAGGCCTTTATATATATCAAGTAGTTAATAGGGCTAAATCGACTAGGCGTTGTCTAGGCTGATTAGGTGTCGCATATTGTCAATTTTGAAAATAAATTAGAGATTGAGAGTGGTAAGATAAAGCCCTAATGTAAAATAAAATCAATGCGCAAAAAGAAAAATGGAAAGGTAAAAATCCGAGTGACTAGGATTTTTCTTTTATTTCAAAAATCAAAAGAGAAGGGGAAGAGTTAAGAGGCCAAAAAGAAAAGTTAAAAACCTTTGGCAATGACTTTGATTGCTATCAATGGCGTTTGGCGAGTGGCAATGCCAACTGTCTTAGTGTCTGCATCTGTCTTAGTGTTTGCATATCAGTGTCATCAGCAACTGCGATGATGACATCTCAATGTCGCCAACTACAGTTGACAAGCTATGTCGGTGGCAAGCCGAGTTGCTTCTCTGGTTGTGACTGATGATGGTTATTGTGAGCTATGCGGTGGTGGACAAAACTAGTGAAGGATGAGGTTTGAAGGGTTGTTCGTTGTTCAATTTAGCTTGCTTGCTCTCCCTTTTTTTATGCTACTTAAATTTAGGGTTGTTTCGCACAAAACTACGTCGTTTTAAATGAAACAACCCTAACTAAAAAAAAATAAAGTAAATGGCCAAAGATGCCATTTGTCCAATTATTCGTATAATTGGGTAAAATGATAATTAGTATCAAAACTGACTCAGCATAGAAACGTCTAGCGCTTAGTCGGCCATCTAGGTTGAGTTTTACAACACTATTTCTAGGCATGAGTGATCAATATTGTTTTCAGCTGACCAACATTAAGGAATTCTCGTGAGTGCATCAACCATTCATCATTTGACAACGATGTATATAGTCATGGATCACGTGGAAAACCAAACGACATCATTTTTAGACAAATTGAAAGATACAAGAGTTTAGCCAAAGAGTTAAATCTAATTAAACTTTGAAATTCAAGCATTTTCTACATACTTTTATATTTAGCCAAAAAAAAAAAAAAAAAAAAACTAGCTCAATTGGTCGACCACAAGTTAGCACTCTAGTAATAGGATGGGAGTTTGACTCCAACCAGCAAAATCTTGGAAATAGAGCCTCCTAGGCTAGAGTTTGCGCCCTTGGGCTTCCCAAGTTGGCAGAAGTGTAAAAATGAGTCCCGGCTCCCCATAGTCGATACTTTTCTCCATATTACCATGATGATTCATATTTATTGGAGGACAAAATCTTATTTGCTTATGAAGTAGAAATCTTTTTTTTTTTCACTCTGTGAGGGGCTCAAAAACTAGTCTGATGGTACAAATTCTCTTACAACACAGAACTTACACAAAAAGGAGAAGCTAAGGCTTATTACTTATTAGCAGCTTATTAACTAATAATAATGCAGATATGCTGCGCTTCGAATTCCCTATAGATCATCCTCCCGAGCCGCCTGCCAACTTCTTCATATGACTGTCTTGTCTTTGATGGTCGCGTTCTTTACTATGACAGTTATCCCCGACCTGATGTAGAACCCATCCTCTGCCCTCTCGGCTTCATCAATGCCCTATAGTGTATACAAAACGACACAAAATCACTTGTTGTTTGTGTGTTTTCGAGGAGTCGAAGGATGTGTTCTGTCTCAGCTAAAAGTTTGCATTTTTAGTATAAGAGGGTGGAGAGATGCTTACCTCTTTGTTAGCAATAATCACTTCTTTCCCGATTCTGGCATTCTTGTCGATTATACAATTCCTTGACAAAGATTAGGAAAGAAACGTGAATTTGTTTGTTGGTTGGGTTGGTTCATAGTTTTGCTTAAATTTCTTTGATCAAATGGTTTGCTCGATAAAGAACATGGAGAGAGATACCTGATTTTGGTGTTTGGACCGACGCCAATTGGAACCTTCCCCTCAGAAAGCAGAGAAGCAACCTCGGCTTGAGTTTGATAATAGTCCGCACCCATCATCATGGTATCCTTGGAAAAGTATAGGTGGTCGATGAATGAGTCGATAATAAAGATTTATGAGCATGAAGGGGGGGGGGGGGGGGGGGGGGGGGCAAAAGTGAAGATATATACTTTGAGCTCAACACCATTCTCTAATCGTGATCGTACACCGATTATAGAATGTTGAACGCTGCATTCTCTCAAGAAGCAGCCGTATGAAATAATCGAATCCACTATCTGGAAAATCAAGATTATCGTGGTGAGACAGAGATAAAGAAACATCAAATTTTATGCGAATGGAATCAAGCTTGTTAGCCTACTCTGCACTTGTCGACTTTAGTAGGAGGTAAGAATCTCGGTGAAGTATAAAATGGTGTCTTCGGGTTGTGGAAATCAAACTTGGGAGGCTGCAAAACAAAACCGTAATGTTTTATGTATCTAGCTTGAAAGTAGTAAAAAGATGTTCCAAACACCAATCCTAGGTTACTGGAAGCGATACTACATTGTAATAGAGTCAGTAGCAGAAACTAACCTGCTCGGTGAGGGCTAAGTTTGCATCGAAGAAAGACTTCATTGTTCCAATGTCCTCCCAATAACCTTCAAACAAATATGCCTAACAATACAAACAAACGCATCGATTAAACAATACAATACCTTTAAATCCTAACAAGTTGGAGTGGAGAGACGGGGGTTTCAACTCTTACTTGGACCTGGTAGTTCTTCAGAGCAGCCGGGATGATTTCAGAACCAAAATCATTGCACGAAGGGTACTCCCATTTTAGAAGCCTTATTAGAACATCAGTTCTAAATACGTAAATACCCATTGATGCGAGATAAGGTTGTTTTGCAGCCTCGTTCTCGGAGAGTCCTAGGCGAGATGTATCAACTTTCTGCAAAACAAAACAAAAACAAAAGGTGTGAGTTTTCGACTAAGATTAAGAATGGTGTAAAAATAACAGTCAATCTTTACCATGTCTTTCAGAGCCGAGCCTCTTGGTTTCTCAGCAAACTGAACGATTCGTCCATTGTCATTCATTTTCATTAGTCCATAGTCCGGAGCTCGGCTATGGAAAAGGGGAAACAAAATCTCTCAAAACTAAATAATGGGTTGTGAATTAAAATCAAATCCCAAAGTTGCAAAGAAAATTCAATGGCCCACACCTATCATCAGTTGGTATACAACAAACAGTAATATCAGCGTTCGTGTCAATATGTTTCTGGCAAGTACAAAATCACCATCAGAAAACAGTAAAACATCATGTAGAGAAACGCGATGAATATGAATCGTGTACCTGAACAAAGTCCATATAGTCCATTCGGTAGAGATGGTCACCCGACAAAATTATAACATGCTCCACACTCTTGAGCTTGGCATCCTGTATAAACATAGAAAACGAGTATTAATTAGTGATGTGATGCTCTCTCTCTAAGAACTCTCTTGTCATCGAGGATTGTTCAAAACCCCATCACCTCGAAAACCCATACAAATTGCCTCACTGCATCAGCAGTGCCTTGAAACCACTTCTTCCCCGATTCCCCAGATGTTTGAGTGGCAGCAAGAACCTGCATTCCAGAAAATTTTCTGTTTCATGCATTCTAGCACAGAAAGGCTGGCTAAAAACTATTTCGAGTCTTTCTTACCTCAACAAATCCATCTCCAAAGTTCATTCCATTGCCAAGATTATACGAACGAGAAAGGTGACGATTGAGGGAACAAGAATTAAACTGCGTTAAGATGAAAATTTTACGAACACCACTGTTGATGCAATTGCTCATTGGTACATCAATCAGCCTATAGCAACCACCTATAGGAACCTGCATAACACAAAACGAGCCGCTAAATCCTAACAAAGTATGAACCCCTGGACAATTCTTGATTTAAAAGTTGGCTAATTAATCGATTCCAAACAAATGGTTCAAATTTGCAGCATCTTTAGTAGTACTACACAATAAATAGTAAGTAGGACAGATAAAATGGTGCTTCTCTTACAGCGGGTTTAGCTCTATTCTTTGTAAGAGGAAAGAGGCGAGTGCCAGCGCCTCCACCCAAAACGATTGCAGCAACAGTGCTTGGGTCTGCCTTTGGAAGCATACCGTCTAGTGGTCCTTCGTATGCCTGAGACTAAACCAGTTCAAGAACAATGCTATGGTTACTTACCAGAAATGTTGATAGTCAAAAGCACAATTTCGTCTGGCAAAAAACGTTTACTTA